AATATTTATATACTGTGTGTGTTGCAGTGGCTGCCGATCCATTAGAGAGGATTCATTTAGGACTGACTTAGACCCATTATGATACCACAAACTTAAACCATCAGATTTCATCGTCAATCCATTTTGATTCTCTAATGAACCTCATTAGATCCATAAATTTGACGTCAGACGAAAGACCATTCAGCAGTCACCTTGTCACCTCTTTTTAAGGAGTACATATCTCATTACTGCCATTCGGAAGGCTCGGATTTAAAACAACGTGCGGCCAAAATTCAAAAGTTATAGAAAATAAATTTAAATAAAAAATTAAGTTAAATTTTATAATTGCCCCACGGCAGGAAATGCCAACCCCTCCGAGTGATGAAATAAAGCTCCTCATAAAAAAACCATCAGCCCTTCGGAGGCGGCTTAGCTTAAACTGTAGGTCCTTCCATTTGTTGGAAAAGCATCAAGACGCAAAACGACAATTTATAATCGCTTAAGCGCCTGTTATATATATAAATATCTCGTGATCTCTTCTTATCTCACTTGAGGCATGTGTGCCTGGTTGTGATGTCATTCCACGTTGTAATGGCTTGTTCACAGTGAATTCCTTGAGAAGCACTTTGCATGTAGCAAAAGGCATACCAATTCGTTTTTTATCGGGAAGAATCTGCCTGGTCGTACTTCGTACCTCCTGTAGAGATAGGCGACAGTTCAGCTAATTTGGAGTTTAGCGTAAGCGAGCCCAGTGCTTTTATTGCTGCTTGACTATCCCTGAAAATGAAAATATCTTTACTTTGAAGCTGGCTCCAATTTGCTTTGCAGCCTCGTTGATAGCAGATATCTCCGCCTGGAAAACACTGCAATGGCCAGGTAGCCTGAAGGAGAGTTCCATCGGAGGGTTTTCTGAGAATACTTCTCCTCCAACTCTCCCTTTCAAACTTTGACCCGCCCGTGTATATTTCCAGGCTATCACTTGATGTATTGTAATTATCTGTTCATCCTTCCCTGCCGGAATTTCGTACTCTAAAAGGGTTATCATTTACTGCTACTGGACCACATCTATCCGTATTATTTGGTATGAAGTCGTATTTACCCAATCTTGTCGGGTGTTTCCATATTTGAGTAGATCATAACTCTCTTAGACGAACTGCAGTCATTGCTACCGACTGATTTACCAACAAAATTTTGAGTATCACATTTAGAGCCACAATTGGCATGCTTCTAAGTGCCCCCCTGATACACATTAAGGCACTTCTTTGAAACTTATATAAGAATTTAACATTTGTAGCTTTACTTATAGCTGGCCACCACGAGATCGCGCCGTAAAAGAGCTTTGACCTTACTACTGAGATGTAGGTCCATCGGCAGATCCTGGGGCCCATTTCTTACCAATTGCTCTTCTGTAAATATGAAGGGCCGTAGCAGCTGTTCGTATCTTTGAATAATATTGTCTTTAAAATTAAGTTTTTTGGCAAAGTTGGCTGCAGAAATTTAATTTTTGATCCCGCACTAAGTTCAACGCCGTACTGGTGGGTTGATAGCGGGGATCTTGTATCTTCTTGTGAATAGGACGAGTTCCACCTTGTTTGAGTTGACACAGAGGTCGCATTTGGTCGTCCAGGACGCTACTTTTCTTAGTGTTCCTTGCATTAGGTTTGTCGAAACTTCCCTCTGTATGCAATGGCGATGTCATCGGCGTAGGCAATTGCTTTGCCTCCACCCCATTCCGTTTGCGTTAATAGCGAGTTTACAATGAGATTCCAGAGCGATGGGAAGAGAACTCCACCCTGCGGAGTGCCTCTGTTTACATATTTGATACTTGATATTCTTCCAGTTGGTTGGTGAAATAATGTAATGGAGCGTCGATATCTAAACTTAACATTGCAGCTGTATTGTATATCCAGGAAGACAACAAGACAAAAGTTCTTGTTGTAGATACAATTTTTAATGAAGGTAATTAATCTATGTAGTGCAGTTTTTGTCGATATTCCCTTTTGATAGGCGTGCTGATTTTTTGACAGTAGCCTCCTGTTAATGGTTTGAGAGAGATAGTTAACTATGATCCGCTCCAATGGTTTTAGCCCAAATATGTGTAAATTATTGTGTTAAGATAAATATTATTACCTTAGATATATAACCCGCGTCCGCGGTAGCCGAGTGGTTAGCATTGCGTACTGCCATTCGGAAGGCTCGGGTTCAAATCCCCGGATGACCAACATCCAAAAGTTATAGAAAATTAATTTAAATAAAAAAATTAAGCTAAATTTTCTAATTGCGGTCGCCCCTCGGCAGGGAATGTCCACCCCTCCGAGTGTATTTCTGTCATGAAATAAAAAAGGCTCCTCATAAAAAACCATCAGCCGTTCGGAGGCGGCTTAGTATAAACTGTAGGTCCTTCCATTTTTTGGAAAAGCATCAAGAGGCAAAACGCAAATTGGAGGAGGAGCTCGACGAAAAATCGCTTCAGCTGTTACAAAGTGCCAATTAAATATATATAAATGTATACATACAATATAACCGTGGGCCGGACCAACACCGGCTTTGCGTACAATTTTATTTTGTTTGCATATTTTTGTTAATTTTTATATTTTATTTAACACAGACGGCAACATCAGATTAGGATGTATCCATGTTTAAATGAGCAATTGTTTTAATTACAATAAAATAGTATTTGTTAATGTTTATTTAAGTTGCATTGAACGAAAAGAAAAGAATAGTATGATGTGATAAAAATGTTAAAAAATTTTTAACAACAAATAACTTATAATTCATAATATACGTGTGCAGTCAGCGTAGAACAAAAGTGTGCACCTTTTTCTCATACATTTCACTCTTAATTTCGTTGCAAAATAATTAACACAATTTTAAATCAATTATCATTAACAAAGGATTACATATTGTTCTTACAAGAAAACTTTACAGGAACAAAAACAACGCAAACAAAACCTAACCGAAGTGTACAAATACGGTAGTAGGCTTCGCATTTTCATTCTGCGCAGAAAAAAGTACCGCTATCAATAGTTTTTTCATTGCAACTGCTCATTCTACCTTTATTTAGTATTCTTGTGCCGATAGGACATTATTTGCGTTTGAAAATCAGCGGACAGCAAATCAAATTAGTGATAGATTTTAAGAAAGAAGGAAAATCTTTGACTGAAATCGCTTTAATAATTGGAAGAAGTCAAAATACAGTAAAAATCATTTATAAGCAAAAAAAAAGTTGGGTGAAATAGAAAATCGACCACATTCGGGTAGACCAAAACTGCTTATTAATATTTGAAAAACGCTGAGTTTTAGGAGCTGCGAAGATAGATCCAACTGTGAGTGTCGTCAAATTATCGGAAGAAATGTCCAGAACATGCGGACTGAATGATAGTGCCAGCACGATCAGGCGAACATTGCATTCTAATGGTCTGTGTGGTTGGGTATAGAGGAAAAAACCTCTCATCTCTACGCAGAACCAAATGCGGCGATTGGAAATTTGCGAAAAAGTATAAAACTAAGAACAAATGGTTTTTTGTGTGGCGAAACAAAAATCATGAGTTTGAACAGAAAACATTACAACACAACACAACAAACATGGCGGCAAGTGGAGTGGGAAGGATGGTGTTTATTGATAGTACAATGAACAAAATTGATTGCCTACACATTTTAAAAGAAGATCCTAAGCATACAGCAAGCGTACACCTAAGCAACTGGATCCCCCCACAATCACCAGACCACTGAGCATCTGTGGGAGCATTTGTACCGGCAAATAAAGAAAAGAAATATAACCAGCGAGAATACACTGAGAGAAATTTTACTAAGGGGGGGAGGGCTAAAATGGAAATGGAAGTAGGGCGCAACTTAGTGGAATAAATTGGAGTCAGAAATACGCTCGTAGGGTTTGATATTGCCTGCCGAGGTGCAACCGCATTAGGCAAATTCATTTTCTATAATTATGGATATTGGTCGAACCAGGACTTGAGCTCTAACCTTCAGAATGGCAGTACTTAATGCTAACTACACGGCTATTGTGACCGAAACAAAAATTTAAAATAAAAAAGGAACAAAAAACAGCAATCAAAATTCCAATATGGAAAAATGCATTTAATATAAAACATTTTAAAAGGTATAGTTTTAAATGTACTGTAATCAAAAGTAAAGATATGCACACAAATTGTAAAATATTATTTTGATGGACTCGAAGATCCAGATAAATGTATGATATTTAAAAACATTTATAAAAAATTGGCTAACGGAACAAATGCAGAGCATCACAATTTTCCAATTTTCACTTGAATGTCGGAAATTTTTAAGAGGATTTCGTTGACCAGTATATATACTGCCAAGATATATGCATAATGAATAATGAATAATAAAACATTTCGTTCAGTTGTTTAGTTTTGTACCAATTTTTTGCTTAAAATATATGTATGTCGTAGGGATGCAAGTTGAGTAGAAAACCGTTCGACTGTCTCCCGCCCGCCTATAAACGATCGATTTGCTTTTGTGTTCTACTATCTGGTCACAGCTAAGTAGCTTGATGAATTTTCCTGTGCTAGAATCTAGTATTAGGGAAAATCATATTTCAGGCTCTGACTAAGTCTATCATTTGGGGATGATTCGTTTTGGTGGCTGAAATCTCCGACTTTTCTGTCAAAGATACTTTGAATGCAGCAACTTGGAGAGTTTGATTGTCAAACATTCATTAATTATGTTTTGAAATATGATCTTTCAGGTTTTTGCATTTTTGACTTTTTTGTGATACTCAAGTTAGACGTGTTTTCGTGTGCTCATTTCATGTTATTAGCATATGGTAATGATGAAACACAAACCATTAAATTTTAAAATTAGGTGATTATATTTAATACAATACTTAATTGATCTAAATAATACAATTAAAATTTTGGTAATAACTTCAGAGCACAGCACCAACTGCTGTATGAAAATGAACTTGTACTTCTATTCTCCCTGATATAAATAAATGTTCAAATAATTCATAATACACATTACAAATAATTTTTTTCTTACAGCTTTCATTCATTTAGACATTACAACTGTATGCCTTTCACTAGGCATTACAAATTTGTTTCTCCAGCTTTCTTCTACAAATAAATATTTTCACTTATTTCAAATACGATTTCAAAAAAGCTATAATTAAAAAAAAAGCTGAGATTCCACACTACTAAAGGAAGAATTCCACGTGCCATATTTGATGGTGAACAATAGCGTAACCTGCTAACACCATTATGGCAGAAGCCGAAGGAGGCTCCGAGCAGGATGATGTTTCATTCTTGCGGACGGTAAGTACTCTGCTTCATTTATGGTATTAATATAAGCCGACAAAAGTCAATCGTAAGACAATATACATCTATTTCCCTTTGTTTTCGCATACAAACTTAATTAAATCAGTTCAACTAAGTACTATGTTAATTTCAGTGCTGTTACGTAAACGCTCTCAGAGATGTGTCACTTAATGAATTCAATTTCAATAGAAAAACATCTTCATCGTTCACATTTTCCAAAATTATACCAAAACAATAATACAAAAATTTAAATAACTAAACAATATGATCTACCACCTTTAGGAAGATATGGTATGTCTTTCGTGTACTGCGACCGGAGAACGTGTTTGTTTAGCAGCTGAAGGATTCGGCAATCGCCATTGTTTTTTGGAGAATATTGCCGACAAAAATGTTCCTCCGGATCTATCCCAATGCGTTTTCGTTATCGAGCAGGCGTTATCAGTTCGAGCCTTGCAAGAATTAGTGACGGCCGCAGGATCAGAAACAGTGAGTTTTAAAATACGTATTTATTAATCTTATAATTAACACATAACACATAAAAAATGACAGGAAAAGTAGTTGGTTACCTCGAAAAGCGATTTATTCTTTGATTAAAACAGTTCCTTATTATTAGGCTCAGGTTCTAGGCCAAGGCTCGATGGTTATTCTAGTCAATAGCAAAACTTATAACCAATAAAAATCTAATCCAAATTCATAAACCAAATCGAATATCAATGAGTTATCCTTTGAATATTAAGTCGCATAAAGTCGCCGAGATAATTTTTTCGATCAGAGCAAGTAATATATATTATATTTAAATGGTTTTCATTGAGTTTTCGTATTGAACTTCGTCAGAAAGAACTTATTTAAAAAGGTTAATATTATACCATCTAAATTATAGGAGATCATAGCAATAACTTGGTATAAATGATGCTAACAAAATGAATCAAAACCCGTGAAATACTCACTGGAAGCATCTCAAACAACAACACTCAACACAGTTGAAAGTAATTTGTCTAGTAAGGTATCAACATTTTCAGGCAGGCCAAGTATTCCATGATCTACTCAGATAAAGTTGAACTCATGACGGCCTTACCTTTATTATACTGTTCATTTAATTCCTTACCCAAACGGTATCGCAAATATACTTATGTTCATATATAAGGTAAATTTGTGTATGTATATAAGCAATAAAATAGAAAGAATAATAGAATAAGATAGAATAATACAGTTACTGACTTATTGGAGCGTTCGGCGTTGCGTTTTTTTTATCATCAATGAGTGGCAATGCGAGTCATCGCCAAATAAGAGCGCTGACGCTATAAAGATTTCCCATTCTATTGAAGTTCGTATTATTTTAAAAACAATTAGAAAACTAATTACATTTATTTCAACCATGATACTCAAACATTATTTGCCAGCAAAGGTGTGCCTCCACCTTCTGAGTTAATTTTTCAGTGCATATTTGCCATTTTATTAGCAAAATATGATTTATTCGTCGAATTTGCCTACTCCTCTTCGTCAGTTTTTTCTACTTTCTTTCACACCTAAATTCATCATATATCGATGAGGATTTTTGGCAATTTAGTTATGGCAGTTAAATATATGTTTTCGGGCCATTATATTGTATAGATGTATATAATATGTATGTATGTACTTGTTTGTATGAAATGTGATGTTGTTGTAGTCTCTTTGTGCCAATTTAAATTAAATAAATAATTTTAGGTATTAAACTTTATTATTACGTATTTATGCAGTAATTCTATTTTATATTCATTCACATTTAACTTTCTCTCTTCTTTTTATGTTCGTGAATGCATGTGCACTTTCCACAATTTCTGCATCCGGTGTTAAAATATCCTATATACAAAATTTTCTACCCAATTCGACTTCCACAATACTCCAGGTCATGGTAAAATTTTATTAGTTGGAACTAATCTATGTTTTGGTTTTCAAAATTTCTTTTAGCATTAATATCTATTTGATTTTTACTAACAACAAAATTAATTGTGCAAAATTTACTGTAGTTATGGAAATTCATACAGAGTATGTATGTATATATAAAGAACTTAGTTCGAAAAAGCTTCAGCTATTTATAATTTGGAAAAGACCGACTCTCAGGGGAAACAGCGCTTCACATACCTGTATGGAATATTCATCTCATTGATTGTGCTCACAGAAACTACTTATCAAGTCTGCTCTATTTGTGGGACTGTAAGAAAAAAGTTAGTTGCAAGCGAGCTTACATTACCTGCCAAAGTGGGACCGCAATTAGAAAAAAGTGTTGGAATATTTCTTCAAAAACAATGTTTTGAATGAAGGTTTCTTTTCCCCTTTATGAGCTGTCATGATGTCGACGATCTTAAAAAGCACAAAGCTTTTTTTTATAGAACAACAAGACTTACCTCTGGTTTTTAATTGTCTGTGGAAAGGTAGACCATTGACTTCAAATCAATAGATTCGGTTATACTTAGACTGATATATTATATAAAGGAGCTTCGTAGAAGGCTGCACTAAAAAGGATTAAAAAAGATTAGAGCAGATGCTGGGTATGAGGAGGATAATTATCCTGAATTTCTGACATAAATAAAGGCCCCTCATAAAAAAAAATCATCAACTGTTTAGAGGCTGCTTAGCATAAACTGTGGGTCCCTCCATTTGTTGGAAAAACATCAGAAATTGCTGCAGCGGTTACAAATCGCCAATTATATATATATATATATATATATGAACAATTAGCGATTTTCGGCTGATCTCCTCTTCATATTCATGGAATTAACGTCTGTCGTTTCGATAACCATAATTTTCAAGAGTACTTTCAAGGTGGAAAATTTTCCGGTCCCGTTAGCTTTATGTATATATGTACATACATAATTATAAGAACACAACATATATAACGTAGTTAGGTCATTTGAAACTGAAAGCAGTCAAATGTACTCTGTGAGAAAGTAGATGGTTCTTTCACTTCTCTTAATAGCTCTTTATAATATCAAAGTCTAAACGCTCTTCCTCTGCGCAGATTCAACTGAAATAACAAACTTACACCTTTCTGCTTATTTATACTTTTTGCCTACTACTATGCATCCCCGATATCCTATAAAATTTCACTGAAATATTATTTAATAGAAAATATAATTATTAAAAATACTCGTAAACTTTAAATTTTCAGGGCAAAGGTACTGGATCAGGTCATAGAACATTACTATATGGTAATGCCATTCTTTTGCGACATCACAACAGTGATATGGTAAGAAAGCATGGACAGGAGCGGTTGAAATGCACTATTAATAATTATTTCTATTGACATCTGATCAACTATTTTTGTTATGCAGTACCTAGCATGCTTATCTACGTCTTCATCAAATGACAAACTGTCTTTCGATGTGGGTTTGCAAGAGCATAGCCAAGGTGAGGCATGCTGGTGGACTGTACACCCTGCAAGCAAACAAAGATCTGAGGGTGAGAAAGTTCGAGTAGGTGATGACCTAATTTTGGTCTCAGTAGCTACAGAACGTTACTTGGTATGTGGATGTCACCGTTTGACCACAAAATTAATAATGTATTATTCATAATTTTTTTTTATATGATCCACAGCATACCACTAAGGAAAACGAACAGTCGATTGTGAACGCAAGTTTTCATGTTACCCACTGGTCGGTGCAACCATATGGTACTGGTATATCCCGAGTAAAATATGTCGGTTATGTATTTGGTGGAGATGTGCTGCGGTTTTTTCACGGCGGTGATGAATGCTTAACCATACCAAGCACTTGGGGCCGCGAAGCAGGACAAAAGTAATTACAATAACAAAGTCACACTAGCTATAACTCCAGTGACCATTATTTACAAGGATATATTTGGCTCGAAACTATAACTTAAAGTTTAATCTCAAAAGAAATTGTATTATGGTCTTTTTACCTAGGAACTTTTAAATTTTTTATTTAACTAGTTTGATAGCTAGCTTTAGGACGGTATTAGAGCTTTAGGGCATAGAAGAATTAAAGGTAGAATTAACCAATTTTGTAGGGTTATTAAATTCAAGTTAGGTTTTGGTTAGGTTTTGGATCCTTATTTAACCAAAAGACATATCGGACTGCCCAATGTACATAATTTAATCCCATTATTTTTTGGCACAGTATCGTTGTATATGAAGGCGGTTCTGTAATGTCGCAAGCTCGCTCACTATGGAGACTTGAGTTAGCTCGCACTAAATGGACGGGTGGCTTTATTAATTGGTATCATCCCATGCGCATACGTCACATTACTACTGGCCGATATTTGGGTGTCAACGAGAACAACGAATTATATTTGGTAAAACTATATTAACCGAAAACTAAATGCTCTAATTTGTTTATCGTATTTTTCTATTGCAATCAAAAAGGTTAAAAAAGAAGAAGCATCTATTGCATCAACGACTTTCTGCTTGAGGCAGGAAAAGGACGACGAGAAAAAGGTACTTGAGGACAAAGATCTGGAAGTAATTGGTGTACCAATCATCAAGTATGGTGACACCACAGTTATTGTTCAACACTGCGAATCTAGCTTATGGCTCAGCTACAAAAGTTATGAGACTAAAAAGAAGGGTGTCGGTAAAGTGGAGGAAAAGCAAGCTATCCTTCACGAGGAAGGCAAAATGGACGACTGTCTCGACTTTTCCCGTTCCCAGGAAGAAGAATCAAAAACCGCTCGAGTTATTCGGAAGTGTAGCAGCCTTTTTACACAATTCATAAAGTAAGTATATCGACTTATATATACACTAGTAATTTAAATTTTAGTAAACTTCAAACTCATAACATAAAATCTAATTTCATTCATACATATATATATATATAAAGCAATTCAATTCAGCTTTGTAAAAATTTCAATTATCTTCAGTTTTATAACGAGAAATATACTCGTATATGGCTGCAAAGCTTCATATCATAACTTCTTCTTGCGAAAATATTTTTAATTTTTATACTATTTTGTAACCGCGAATTGCGTTCCGTTTACAAAATTGTATGCTTTTCTAAGTGGTAATGGCAAACGTACTTCAATGTTTTCATTCAAAAGCAGCTTCTTTCTGCTTCGCCTGTTACTCAACTTTTTCTGAAAGGTTTTCGCAATAGGTTACGTAAAATCATTAAACGGAATTGCTCATAAATTTGAGTTCAGATTTATTTTATTCTCATGGGGTTGCTTGGATCGCAGCACCTTAGGAAGTTTTATTTATTTATTGATAATTTTGCTTGGCATCTTTTATTGTGTTGGACACCAAAAGCTATTTTTACAGTATTTGTAATGAAAAATGTCATTTGTTAAACAATTTTAGTGACCGAGCATAGATGAGATCAAAAAACAATTCATGCAATAATAATAAAAAATAAGTAATAACAGTATTTTTCTATGAAAAATAATTCAGACATGATATCAAGAACTAGAATATTTCTCTAATAGAAACTTAATGTATTTTAAATTTTGCATACCCATGTTATTTTAATCTGATAATATTATACTAATGACGTATTTATAAAAAATAAAATATATAATAAATCAAATCACCAGCTCAATTTAACTATTTTTCATATTTTTAGCGCTTTGGAGACACTTCAATCGAATCGACGTCATTCAATTTTCTTTCAAAAAGTTAACTTAAACGAAATGGTTATGTGCCTTGAAGATTTGATCAACTACTTCTCTCAGCCGGAGGACGATATGGGTAAGAAATTCTGTACAATTTTCTATTACCCTTCGCTAATGAAAAATAAGGGTAATAAGTATTTATTTATAAGACGGGACTGCTGCTTAAGTGTCACGATTTATTATGAGTGAATATGACTAATGGGATTTTGGTATCGTAACGCCGTAACCAACGTAGGCACGGACATGATTTTGCGGTGTGTGCGGACAATGAGCTGCCAGCAAAATCGTGAGTGAAATACGAGAAGCGTCCAATTACAACACGACTATGCGTTAAAGTCTCACTTTCCACCTGGAAATTTATTTCTTAGAAAACAGATTATTAAATGAAAGAATCTTGAGAAATTGTAAAAAGAAACGTAACTAGAACGCAACATAACATGTGGGATATAAAGACGGATTATTTTTTGGCGAATTCCATCACTTGTAGCCACAATTGAGAATAGATGGAAGTGAATTTCAGCAGTATTCAGGAATGTAGATATAAATATTTGACACACATTAGCAAATATACATGACATTTATTACTATGGTTGAACAAATAAATTTTATTCCACAAAACACTTCTTTTCTGAACTCCAGATATTAGAACTTCCATTTTCAATACGGTACTTATCGCACCGCACATGGCGTAATTCTTAAAATTCAAAACCTAAATTTGTTTACAGATACATATATAAAAAATTCGTTTAAGGACCATTTTCTAATGACAAGCGAAGCTAGCCTTTAAGTTGGGATTATGATATTTTGATTAAAAATATTGTACACCTATTCATATTTAAATAATTCAACATATTTTTTAATACAATCGTTATTCATGCAAAACCCCGTTCTTTTGGAGCAATCTATATTCCTTTAATATAAAACCGATATATGCAAAAACTTCTCAAGCCAATGAGTAAAAGATGCAACAACACAGCTCCAACCTCTACAATCCCATAATTTGGGATGTTGGTCTGGGCAGGATTTGAAGCAGTAATTCTCCGCAATGCACTGCTAACAACTTGTCTATTGCGGCCGTCTCCAAATAACCTGCCTTACAATTTCGAAAGAATTACGAATCACAAACTCTCACTTTCAATCTTTTTTTCGTATTATTTGTTCTTGCGAACTAGGCTTATAAATAAATTACAATTTTTTTTTTTTAATTTCCAGAGCACGAAGAAAAACAAAATCGTTTCCGAGCACTTAGAAATCGCCAAGACCTATTTCAAGAAGAAGGAGTTCTGAATTTAATATTGGAAGCAATTGACAAAATCAATGTCATTACTTCACAAGGATTTTTAGCCAGCTTTTTGGCCGGCGATGAGACTGGTCAAAGCTGGGACTTAATATCGACATATTTATATCAACTTTTGGCCGCCATTATTAAGGGAAATCATACTAACTGTGCACAATTCGCCAACAGTAACCGCTTAAATTGGTTATTTTCGCGATTAGGGTCCCAAGCCTCCAGTGAGGGCTCAGGCATGTTAGATGTATTGCACTGTGTTCTTATTGATTCACCAGAAGCTTTGAATATGATGCGGGATGAACACATAAAGGTTATTATATCTCTTTTGGAGAAACATGGCCGAGACCCGAAGGTTCTTGATGTACTATGTTCACTATGTGTCGGTAATGGAGTGGCGGTAAGATCGTCGCAAAATAATATTTGCGATTTCCTGTTGCCGGGAAAAAATCTATTATTACAAACTCAATTAGTGGATCATGTGGCCAGGTAAATATCCCTACAATGGCAAAATAAAATCTTGAAAAACTAGTTAAGAATCTTTATTTTAGCATACGGCCCAATATTTTTGTTGGTCGTGTAGATGGGTCAGCCATGTATCAAAAGTGGTATTTCGAGGTAACGATGGATCATATTGAACAAACAACACACATGATGCCGCATTTGAGAATAGGTTGGGCGAATACCTCTGGGTATGTTCCTTATCCAGGAGGTGGTAAAAAATGGGGAGGAAACGGTGTGGGTGATGATCTTTATTCTTTCGGCTTTGATGGTGCGCATTTATGGACGGGTGGACGTCGAACTTTAGTTGTTAACCACTTGCCAGAGGAACCATTCATAAGGAAAGGAGATGTTATCGGTGTAACAATCGATCTATCAGTTCCTATAATTATATTTACCTTTAATGGCAATAAGGTACGAGGCTGTTTCCGTGATTTTAATTTAGATGGCATGTTTTTCCCTGTGATGAGCTGCTCTTCAAAACTGAGGTAAGTTGTGAACATAGTTTTATGTATTTATATTTCATTCGGCTAACACCGTTGCATATTTTATGTAATACCGCTGGCCATATAGCCTTCCGGAAAAGGTCATTAAAATATAACAGTAATAAATAATGGCAGCCACGGTAGCCGAGTGGCTAGCATTGCATACTGACATTCGGAAGGCTCGGGTACATATCCTAGTGCCACCAACATCCAAAAGTTATGGAAAATTTAGTTAAAATTTCTATATGCAGTCGCTGCACGTCAGGGAATGTCCACGCCTCCGAGTGAATTTCTGACATGAAATAAAGGCTTCTTGTAAAAAAAAGAGCCATCAGCCGTACGGAGGCGGCTTAGTATAAACTGTAGGTCCTTCTATTTGTTGAAAAAACATCAAGACGCAAAAACACAGCTGCTAAATATAGAACTAGATTAGAAATATGTACAATAGTAAGTTACTTGTCAAGTGAAGTATTTTTCAATATGAGTCATAACTAAAGTATTGTCATAGAGGGTGGTAAAGCTAATTTAATTCAAAATTCATTTAACAGGTTTTTAAAATTAAGTATACCCTTACCTGCCAAGGGAAATTAACTGTAAATCAACCCGTTTAGAAGTTTGCTCACAGTGTGTATAGATTTAAAAAATTCAAGTCTATGATGTCAATATCATCGGCGCACGTATTTAACTGTGCACCCTATAGAGGATAGTACCAATTAAAAAAAAAAGAATACTTTTCTAAAGTTACAAATGACCGTAAATAATAGTAACGGTAAATTTAGAGCGCCACTCCTTCAATATTGTGATATAAAATTTCAATAAAAAATAAGAAAAAATAGTAATCTAATTCAAAATTGGCCGAAAGCAAAACATTATATTTTAAAACTACATACATATATTTTTGCATATTGTTTCCCAGTTGTCGTTTTCTTTTTGGTGGAGATCATGGCCGCCTAAAATTTGCTCCACCTGTGGGCTTCTCTCCACTAGTCCAATGCTTGATGCCTCACCAAAATCTAAGCTTGGATCCCTGCTTTTACTTTGGAAACTTGAATAAGAATGTATTAGCTGGACCCTGGCTAATTGAAGACGATACCGCGTTTGTTCCTAATCCTGTCGATACATCGGGCGTTTCACTCCCTTCATCAGTGGATCAAATAAAAGAAAAGTTGGCAGAAAATATTCACGAAATGTGGGCATTGAACAAAATAGAGGCAGGCTGGTCCTGGGGAGAGCATAGAGACGACTATCAACGAATTCATCCATGTTTAACACATTTCGAAAAGCTTCCTTTGCCTGAACGTCGCTATGACAGTCAATTGGCGGTGCAAACCTTAAAGTAAGATATGTTTATCTATAACTTAAACCAATAACAAATTGTAAACACTCTAATAACTAAATTTTGTTTAAAAAGTGTACGGTATTTAATGTGTGATTATCGAATATACTAATTCATTCTTTATAGAACAATAATATCTCTTGGATATTATATTACGATGGATAAGCCACCAGCACGAATACGCCCTATTCGGTTGCCGAATGAGATATTTATGCAAGCCAACGGCTACAAACCGGCGCCTTTAGATCTCAGTGCAGTTACTTTATCTCCAAAGCTTGAAGAATTAGTTGACCAATTGGCCGAAAACACACATAATTTGTGGGCTCGGGAGAGAATTCAGCAAGGTTGGACATATGGATTAAATGAAGATTCAGAAAACCATCGCAGCCCTCATTTGGTGCCCTACTCAAAGGTTGATGAAGCAATTAAAAAGGCAAATCGAGATACCGCTTCGGAAACTGTACGTACACTTTTGGTGTATGGATATGTGTTGGATCCGCCAACAGGTGAAGGTACTGAAGGCTTACTAGCAGAAGCACAGCGACTGAAATTCGCTGCGTTCCGCACCTATCGTGTGGAGCGAAATTACGCCGTTACATCTGGTAAATGGTACTTTGAATTTGAGGTGCTCACTGCTGGGCCGATGCGTGTAGGATGGGCGAGGGCTGATTGTCATCCTGGAACTATGTTGGGTAGTGACGACTCCAGCTGGGCTTTTGATGGACATAATGTGAGTTTTCTATTAAAAATGTTTCGCTCAAAAAAATAAATTTGTATGTATTTACATACGTATTAGTTGAAATTTGTTATTTATTACTTGAAAATATACCCAATTATAAATTATGTATATCCAACTATGTGCGTATGTATGTATGTACATATATATGTATAGCAATTCACTTGTCAGTCAAACAAGAAGGCACTTTTAACTTCTTTGAGATACTCAAAAACTGCACCAATCCTGTTTATTTTACGCAACTTTGTAGTAAATACCGTTGGAATTTTCAAAACAGGCGGCTTATGAGCCACAAAATTCTCAATATTGTTAGTATCTGTACTTAGTGCAATGAGCAATAATGTTTTACATACATACATATATGGCTACGTACATATGCACATAAAATAGACTTTGACAGAAGTTTTCCTATTAAATTTATATACAAAAACAATTAATTTGTTTATATAAAGTAACTTTTGGTTTAATCTACTCACATAAATATTTGTGAATAAACGTTCGGGTCAGTAAATTGCCCATATCTTTAAAATGGTGTATCGCTTCATTGTTGAAAACGATCTGTCAAGGTCTTTGAATATTATATATTAACCAAAAATTGATTCCCTTATTCTTAACTACATACATAAATATGTACGTATGCATATCTATGTATGCAAATAAAAAAATTTTTAGGTGACTAAAATGCACGGTGGATCCGTGGAACATTTTGGTGTTCGATATGAGGCAGGCGATGTTATTGGTTGCTTTATCGATGTCTTGGAGAGAACCATCAGTAAGGATATTGATCAAGTTATCAATAAATTCAATTTAAGCGTTTTTCATTCCGCTGTTTTGTTCATTAATTACGACTACCATAATTTATTTTCAAACGTACTTTTTTTACAACATACATACGTATAACATTTAGCAAAAATGTTCTCTCTGATCGAAGTGTAAAATGAGCGAGGAGAAAAATCAAACACAAGACCAAATAAATTTTCGATTATTTAAATTTATTTTTGTTACTTTGCTTTGTTTCTACTAATTTAAACAAGTATTTCTATCTATTAACTTAAAATAAATTAGGAGGAAAAAATTTCTGGTGGCACCTGTGAATCTTTTGGTAAACAATGTGGACCTGGTGATATTGTCGGCGTATTCTTAGATCTCGCTGATCATACAATCAGTAAGAAACTCAATTTTTTTTTGTCCATGCCCTTGCTTTTGATATTTACTAAAAATTTAAATATGTACTCCTTTGATCAGATGAAATAATAGTACTTAAAATTTCCTTGATAACTGTATAGTTGCACCTTGTCCAAATACAATATTAAAAAATGTTTTACAAAGTAATAAATGTTTTCGGAAACTGCATACAATTCCTGGCTACTTAGCAACCAGCAACAAGCAGAACCATATCCTGTCACTGCTTTCGAAATACACTCATGTCCATATACATACCAGCAGATGAATAATGGACTTAAGTCTTAAATTGCACACATATTTCTTAATTTATGTAAGAACTTAAACATCATCATTTATTATTAGAAAGAAGCTTTCAAACAATCTACTAACAAAAGAAAATCCCTTCGCGTTTAAAATTTCGAATCAAATAATCATTTTAAAATAAATAAAATACAAAATTAATCTCAATCATATAAAATATTTGATCGAATGAAATTTCAAGGAAATTAAAATTGCTTAACAGCATTTATGTTGGAGTAAAAACTCACTACATCACTGCTCGTTTGCGCCAATTACAGGCCCTACTGGGCGTATTGAGTGGAAGCCCATCATTAAAAGATATTCACCATGCTCGAAATCTTGGAAAACCCCGTGAAAAGAGTATCATCGCACACCACAGCACGAATAGAAGCTGCCTCTACGCCACTATTTATGAATTCGGTACCCCCGCAAAACTTATACGACTCTGTAAATTGCCGTTAAGCACAATTGAAAGCTCCGCCAGTACCAATTCTATCGCACTAGCCTAAATTTGATCCTTATCAAAAACCTATAGTTTCTTTGACCATTAGTTCCCTTATACCGAGCCATTGGAGAGTACTCTCAAAGAATGAGATTGTAAGTCGAAGGGAACCCCGTTTGGCTGTCTGACCGAGGTCGGTTCTGAGTCGAAATCGAGTTGCATGAAATCTACAGATGCTGTCATAAGACTTCAGCGAACCATCAAACTAATAATAATAATGCCATGGACTTGTCTTAAGAATTACATAAGGATGATAAGTGGGGTCATTATGACATATTATAAAATATTTTTATTATTTTTATTTCTTTGAACTAAATAAACCAATGATATTATCTTAAAACCAAGCAAAAAAATTTCCCAAGCTCTTGCATTGTCGAACAACCTGTAGCTGTTTAATACTTCAATGTAACTGTTGTATAACTAAAATAAATTAGATGTTAGCGTTAATTTCTATTGACAATATGTGTGTAGAGAGCAAGTCTACAGATTATTACAATGAATTTTAAGGTATGGTTTAAACCTTTGCACCATTGCCATGGTAGTTAGACACTATTCAAAATTCAAGGTGGCTCGATGTATGGGATGCAAGAATAATTACATAACGTCTTGAATGTTAAAAGATTTAAGTATTAAAGAATTCTCATCCTTTGACTTCGACTCTACGTCCCAGTTTATTTGACGAAAAACTCTTACAAGTATTACTTCGAAGTTTGTTGATGCCTCTATGCAGGTATGCAGAAAATAAATGAAACCAAGTTTGGCAAATCGGGAAAATATTTCCACATCACACCAGAAGTACCTCACTCATTTTTAACCAACATGGCTAAATATATATACTAATTTTGACTAAGTTACGCTGCATGTTGCTTATAGTTATTTATACGCAATTCTTATTAAAAAAAAAATTGAAAATCTAACGCAAAACTCACCAAAATATTGTAAATGAGCGATTTGTAGTCGTCGAGAAAGATCACACAATCTTATTCCATGAATCTCGGGTTAAGAGTAATAGTGATATTTCCGTATGTTGTTTTATGAAGAACTAAGGAAAAACGCAGTGGTTAGTGGTGTCATATTTGCTACTAATAACTTAAGTAACTGATGTCAACATCTTACAACAAAGAGTGCTTTGCAACGGTCACTTATAAAAAGTTGCTGTTGGTTAAGATCTCTAAAAGACATGAAGTCGGGTGTCAAGATAGAAGAAATTTTATTTTCAAACAAGATGACATATATTGATTGAAGAATTAATTCAACTGGTGGCGGCACACCCTATCAGGGTTCATTGTAGCTTGGTTGAAACAAATGATACGAACTTCAAGAGAATGAGAAAACGTCAAAATATCAGCACTCTTATTTAGCACGTAGTCACTCATTGGCGTTAAAAAACGCAACTCTAAAAACTCCAATTTAGGTATTCACCATATCTAATAATTTTACATCGAAATTGGATACAAGTGAGCGGTTATAGATAGAAAATGGGGAATAAAAAGATACAAATTAAAAAATATTTTTATTTATTTCTTGTGAGTAATTAAAATAAAAGACGAAGAAGAGCATAAAGTGCCCAAGGCTTTCAGCTCTATTTATGTTCGTCCTCCCAATCTACTCGAACTTTATTTCATTCTTTTTTCGTTATCTCTTTCTTCTATAGTTCTGTCTTTTCTCAAATAATTAGTATAATAATAAGGGAAATCAGGACGTTATTGTTTATTCTATATCGTAGTTAATACGTAGCATGCAATTTTTGATTACAACAAATCGCTCATGCAATCGCCTTACTAATATTCTAATCGTTCATAATCGCACTACTGCTTTTATTTAACCATAAACTCAGATAGAGCGTCGCAGTCACATATTTATAAAATTTATATAATTTGCTGGAATGTTCATTACACATGTGGAATGCAGTCAAATATAAATTCTATTCCTATTTTTCAATTAACCATTAAATCGATGTATGTATTCGTACATCTAAACAGGTTTTTCGCTGAATGGAGAGCTTCTTATGGATGCTTTGGGTGGCGAAACAACTTTTGCAGACGTTACTGCAGAAGGAGTAGGGTTCGTACCAGCTTGTACGATAGGTGTGGGTCAAAAAGCACGAGTGATTTATGGACAGGATGTGGACTCGCTAAAGTTTTTCACCACTTGTGGTCTTCAAGAAGGTTATGAACCGTTTTGTGTGTACGTTTTTTTTTTTACTGATTTTTGTCACGTATCACTGTGTAATTTTGTTTTATTTGCTTCTTTTTTACAGCAATATGCGACGTCCAGTGACCCACTGGTACACAAAGGACCAACCGATATTTGAAAATACTGAAGAGATGCCAGACTGTCGTATAGATGTTACGCGTATACCCGGAGGTGCAGACACTCCACCCCATTTGAAAATTTCTCATAATACTTTTGAGACTATGGAGAAAGCTAATTGGGAGTTTCTACGGCTTTCGCTGCCTGTTACTTGTATGAGCCAGTTTATAAATGAAGCAGAAAAGGCTCATCGCTGGGAAGAAATCAAAATACGTCAATATCGATTGCAACGTGAAGCGCAAGATTTAGCTCTACAGCAACAACAAGCAGCCGCAAATGTTGATCATATGTTGAAAGGTGGATTTACAATGAGTGATATTAAAGGTCTTCATCAGAACTTTGAGGATAATCCTGAAGCAGATGAGCAATTGGCTCGTAGTCCTGCAAGACCGCCAAGAAGAAATTCATTGACACGCAATATAACATTTGAGTCAGACGTAGCAAGTGATGGGCGGGGTAATTTTGATATGGTAAATGGAATCAATGGAGTTAACGGAATAAATGGAACTGATGAAGGAATTGATGATAAGAAAAAACGTGGCCGTAGTCCATTTAAATTTTTTTCGAAAAAATCTCGCGACCAAAGTAGAGATAAGACTGGACGGGCCCAGGAAACTTCGCTCGAACGTAGAAACACAGTTGCGCACGGTCGGAATGTTGTAAATGCGCAAATGACTACAAAGGCACCAGCTCTACGGCTGAATAATGTAAGTTTCAACTACAATAATATAAAAACATTCTATTTTAAACAAATTTTTCTTCGTTCGTTTCAATAAATTGCAAATTCATATTTTCCTTAATATGAAAGAAAAAATATTATTAACATGCATACATTTGTACTATATACATATGTAATATATATACTCTTGGACATTATTTGTACTTCTGAAATTATGGTCAAAAACATAATTTTCTTAAATTCAGTTAAATTGATATTAGTAAAAACAGACAAATTAAGATTTCAATTGCTTATTGAGGAAATTACCATAAATCTTTAGGTATCAGTTGGTATGCAATTCTTAAGCTCTTTATTTATTTTTTATTTATTATCTTCAAATATTTTCAAAGGTGGTTTGATAAAGCGCCTTTGATTTAAAGACTTTTTTGTTGTTGAGGTAATATGCAAAAATCTCTTTAAAATCTGCTTTGTATGGGATTATAATGTCTGAGGAGTATTTCAGCAAACATAAAATTATTTTCCTTTTTTTTTTTTGGTGAAATAGTAAAAAATGTTAGAAAAACCTGCGAGCAGAACCATAACTGACGTTAGATAACCGAGTGATAAGTTATTTTTTTTTTTATTTTTGTACAACCGTGAGCATTTCCACTGCTGCCATTCTTATTGCATATATCATTATAACTTTTTTAATATTCGTATCACCAGGCCGACATCCCACCTTCTCCGATTCCACAAGGCCCTAAACAACTCAGTGCAACTACCTTAGGCCAGCCGCCAGTAGAAGCTTCTGGTAACGAGTTATTTGATGCTGAATGCTTGAAGCTAATAAATGAGTATTTCTACGGTGTAAGGATATTTCCTGGACAAGATCCGACACATGTATATGTTGGTTGGGTTACAACGCAATATCATCTTCACAGTAAGGAATTCAATAAATCAAAAGTACGTTGCGGTTCAGTTATTATAGAAGACGAATATGAAGTTATTATGGACCGCATTGATCGTCAAAGTTGTTACGTTGTAAGAGCTGATGAGCTATTTAATGAGGTCACTCAAGATGCTTCTGGAAAAGGTGCCTCTCAGGTAAATATGATTACATGCTGATTTTTGAGCATATTGGAAAATGTCTCAATTGTAGGGAATGTTTATTGGATGCTTCGTGGACACTTCGACTGGTATCATTCGTTTTACATGTGAAGGAAAAGAGACAACTCACCGTTGGATGATGGAACCTGATACGAAGCTTTTTCCAGCGATTTTTGTGGAAGCAACAAGTAAGGAGATTTTACAAATTGAATTGGGCCGCACGTCTACAACTCTACCACTTTCTGCTGCCGTTTTACCAACAAGTGATAAACATATTAATCCTCAATCCCCACCCCGACTAAAAGTGCAATGCCTCCGACCACATCAATGGGCACGTGTACCAAATACAGCACTGCAAGTACATGCACTCAAATTGTCCGACATTAGAGGTTGGTCAATGCTGTGTGAGGACCCGGTATCAATGCTCGCTCTTCACATCCCTGAAGAAGATCGATGCATTGACATTTTAGAGTTGATTGAAATGGATAAATTGTTATCATTTCATGCGCATACTCTAACACTATATGCTGCACTCTGTTACCAATCCAACTATCGCGCTGCGCATGCTCTTTGCCAACATGTTGATCAGAAACAGCTTCTATACGCCATCAGATCAGAATACATGAGCGGACCTTTGCGTCAAGGATTTTACGATTTATTAATAGCTCTCCATTTGGAGTCCCATGCTACCACCATGGAAGTATGTAAGAACGAGTACATAATTCCACTTGGAACAGAGCTCAAAGAGCTCTATAATGATGATGAAATGTGTCACTCGTTGCGTTCCCTCATAACAGAGTCAGTGCGCCCACAAATGCGCATGACAGAAATAACGTAAGTATTAATTCTATTTTTTTCTGGCACACACTCGTACTTATAAGATGCAGTAGTAACGCAGATAAATATGTACAACCATTATTTAAAACAGTCGTTCATAAGTCCACCCTAAGCCCCATAAGGATTATAGAATACTGTTTGCTGCTACTAATGAAAAAGGTAAAAGTCCACCTTTTCAAATCGATGTAAATCTTCAATAGTATGCCATTAAATACGATTATGAATATTTATAACATCATATAAAGTGGGCCAGAGCCAGATTGGTACTTAGGAATAAACCAGCCAGTCAAATTTGTATAGTTTGCTGAACTGACTGATTCAAGGCCATAGTTTGTTGTTCGATAAATAAAAAATATTAATCAATTCACATTTTGTTAGACGTCCTTTCAGTAAGTTAAAAAGTTGCAAATAGTAGTAGTCTTAGTTTTAAGATTCGGAAAAATTATTCAAAAACGACACAAATTATGCTCTGATGATATTAAGTCTTGTTCATAGCCTAGATGTGAAATTAGATCTCAATTGAGCTCTCTTAGTCTTTAAGAACCTAGTGGTGTGCGATTGGTTTCGTTCAGTCGATATCCAAGATTATGGGACCATATTTGATTGAACCTACGTTATCGTAATTGGTTTATTTTCATTAACCTCTACGAATGGTTTTAGAAACACCTGCTTGCAATCTGTATGTGGTGCATCTTGACATTAAAATTTCCATGATTTGACGTTAGCTGTCTTTAAAGCAATCATCGCCGTTGGAAATCAAATTTTTTTACGAACTAGCACAACATTTACGCCTTTTGGAAAATGAAGTAATAAATTATATTATCAGCTCTCTTTGATTATTCAATTATAATCAATTATCTTTTTCCTAGCGAAGCTTAGGTTCACTAGTTTGGTTGGTCTAAATTTACTTTACTAATATCTGTTTTTCATTATTTAGTCTCTATAGCAAGCGAACAGGTTTTGGATGATTCAGTTGTAGATATAAATTGTTACAGAGTCTGGTTGTCATAACTAACAATGAATGTGTCCAGCCAGTATCTAAGTGGCGATAAAGCTTACTATAATATTACGAGTATTTAAATTAACATTAGAAGTAGATTATCAAGTGAAAAGTTTACGGTGCACATAGTTTTGTAATTATTGCTTAGCTTTTGCTTTGAAGCTTTTTTTTTATATATAGTGAATTTGCTCGCAAAATCATTTGTAGGATATTTCACATTATCTTATACTGTAGCATTCCTGTATTCATAAATAACTTTATATGCATATTTAAATACAATAACTATTAACACAAAAGTCCAACAAACTATTTTATTTTTCCATTCTTTCATGTACCTTTGCACCACGATCTCTTGCACATGCAAACATTCTACTTACGTATGCATATACAATAAATATACATATTTATGATACATATGTACATACATAAATCGACGCATACACTCGTTCGTATTCCTGTGTTGTTTCCACGCTCAACACGAATTATATACAAAAAATTACATAACCACATTCGCACAAATCGATTATGAAGACCTCTTGTATATAGCCATACATCTAGTTTACCAAGTGTTTCCAGCGAACCTATACCCAACATTGATCAGCTTTACTCTCCGAAATTTCCCTTGGAAGTAGTAAGGGAATTCGTTATGGAGGCTTTAAAGGAAGCCGTAGAAGTAAATCAGGTGCATAATCGAGATCCCATTGGATGGACTAATGAAAACCTCTTTCTGTAAGTGTAAAACTGTTAACTCTGAGTTCTGAATCATAAATTGTATTCTCGCCTAATATTTTTTAGACCTCTTATTAAACTAACTGATCGACTGCTATTAGTTGGTGTACTCACGGATGATGATGTACAGAAGTTACTTATAATGATCGATCCTGAAACATGGGACAGCATATTTGAGAAAGGTTTGATAATCAAATATTTTGTTTTGGTTTATGTAGCTGGCAATTATCCATTCATAGATGGCAAAGATGAACATCGAAAAGGATTATTGACAATGAAAATGGCAGAAGGAGCCAAACTCCAAATGTGTTACCTGCTTCATCATCTCTATGATATACAATTGCGGCATCGAGTTGAAAGTATCATATCATTTTCTCATGATTTTGTTGGTGATTTACAGGGTGATCAACTTCGTCGTTATATTGAAATCAAACAGTCGGATTTACCCAGTGCTGTTGCTGCTAAAAAGACTAAAGAGTTTCGTTGCCCACCTAGAGAGCAGATGAATCAGATATTATGCTTCAAAAATCTCGAGGCGGATGATCAAGAAAATTGTACTTGTGGTTTAGATTTGAGAAGTCGATTGTACGATTTTCATGATAGCCTTATGAAAAAAGTGTCTCTTAATGCGCTTCAGGAGCCCGATGAAATCGATACTAATGCGATTGAAGAAGTAAAAACGGGTCCAATTACAAAAATTTATAATTTTATAAATACGGTAAAAGAACTTGAAGAAGGTCCAAAAGAAGTTGAGGAGCCAGAAAAGAAAACGCCTGAGGAAGTTTTTCGTAAAGTATTAATAAAAACTATTGTCAGCTGGGCTGAAGAATCGCAAATAGAAAATCCGAGATTAGTACGTGAAATGTTTAGTTTGTTAGTTCGTCAATATGATACTGTAGGAGAACTGGTACGAGCTCTAGGTAAAACCTATGTCATAAATAACAGAGCAAGAGACGATGTAGCTGAAATGTGGGTAGGCTTAAGTCAAATTCGTGCCTTACTTCCAGTTCAAATGAGTCAAGAAGAAGAAGAACTTATGAGAAAACGACTTTGGAAATTGGTAAATAATGCGACATTTTTCCAACATCCAGATCTCATACGAATATTAAGAATTCATGAGAATGTGATGGCTGTTATGATGAATACATTAGGACGTCGTGCTCAAGCTCAAAGTGATGCTCCCCCACAAACTGAAGGTGGCGAAGGGGCTCCGCCTAAGGAAAAAGACACCTCCCATGAAATGGTTGTTGGCTGCTGCCGGTTCCTTTGTTATTTCTGCCGCACAGGCCGTCAGAATCAAAAGGCCATGTTTGATCATTTCGACTTTTTATTAGACAATGCTAACATACTGTTGGCACGCCCCAGCTTAAGGGGTTCTACTCCATTGGATGTGGCATATTCGAGTTTAATGGAAAATACCGAACTTGCATTGGCCCTTAGGGAACATTATTTAGAAAAAATTGCTGTTTATCTTTCACGATGTGGACTACAAAGTAATTCTGAGCTTGTGGAAAAGGGCTATCCAGACCTTGGATGGGATCCAGTGGAAGGTGAACGTTATTTGGATTTTTTGCGTTATTGTGTATGGGTTAACGGCGAAAGCGTAGAGGAGAATGCAAACCTTGTCATTCGTCTTCTTATTCGCCGTCCAGAATGTTTAGGACCGGCTCTAAGAGGAGAAGGGGAAGGTCTTTTCCGCGCAATAGTGGAAGCTAACCGCATGTCCGAACGTATTTCTGATCGATGCAATATGCAAGATGAGGCAGAAGGCACAATTGCTGGCTTAAATTTCACACATCCACTACCAGAAGGAGATGAGGACGAAGACTACATTGATACTGGTGCAGCAATTCTTAATTTTTATTGTACACTTGTAGATCTTCTTGGACGATGCGCGCCAGATGCCTCTGTTATTGAGCAGGGTAAAAACGAATCGCTTCGGGCTAGAGCTATTCTGAGATCCTTGGTACCACTGGAGGATCTTCAAGGAGTTCTCAGTTTAAAGTTTACATTGACACAAACTGCACCAGGGGAAGAAAAGCCGAAATCAGATATGCCTTCCGGATTGCTACCAAATAATAAACAAAGCATTGTGCTATTTTTGGAACGAGTATATGGCATTGAAACCCAAGAACTATTTTACCGTTTACTTGAAGACGCATTTCTACCTGATTTACGAACCGCCACGATACTTGATAAGAGTGATGGTTCAGAAAGCGATATGGCTCTTTCCATGAATCGCTATATCGGTAATTCTATATTACCGCTGCTTATAAAACATTCGAAGTTTTACAATGAAGCCGAGAACTATGCAAGCCTTTTGGATGCGACGCTGCACACGGTTTATAGATTATCTAAGAACCGTATGCTAACAAAGGGCCAAAGAGAAGCGGTATCGGATTTCTTAGTGGCACTTACGTCCCAGATGCAACCTGCCATGTTATTGAAACTATTGCGCAAGTTGACGGTGGATGTATCCAAGTTATCTGAATATACAACCGTGGCTTTACGAGTACGTTGGATCTTATAGTAATTGTTTTCTTTCAAAGAAAAAAATATATAAATGCCTTGCAACCAGCTGGGTATCAGAGTGCATTTGATTAAATGGTGAACACATTTAATATTGAATATTTACAACAATAAGACATTAAAAAACATTGTCAAAATGTAATTATAAATAATAAATTTTTGGCCTCTCGGCCCTACTCGACTGGTTGCAAAACATTAACTGATCTCACAACAAAAAGCTTTAAAATACTTCCTTTATTACTCTTAGCTACTCACTCTTCACTTCGATCGATGTGCAAAGTATTACGGTTCATCTCAAGGTCAAGGTTCTTATGGCGCGTCGTCTGATGAAGAAAAACGTCTCACAATGCTTTTATTCTCTAACATATTCGATTCGCTCAGTAATATGGATTATGATCCGGAGTTATTTGGCAAAGCATTGCCTTGTTTGATTGCTATAGGCTGTGCATTGCCGCCTGATTATAGCTTATCTAAAAATACTGATGAGGACTACTATGGTCGACAATCAGGAGCTCCAGATCAGCCACAATATGATCCACAGCCGATTGATACCGAGCAAATACAATTGAACAACGATCTGGAGGCTCTCGTCCAGAAATTCAGTGAGCACTATCACGATGCATGGGCCAGTCGTCGTTTAGAAAGTGGTTGGTCTTATGGTGAAATACGTTCGGATAACGACCGAAAGCATCCTCGTCTAAAGCCATATAATATGTTAAGTGATTACGTATGTATATATACAATTTATCAACTTGCATTTAACATTGTTGTACATATATGTATGTATGAATGTATATATAAAATTTGTGTAAAAAGCCTTGTGTGAAGTAGCATAGTCCGTTTATATTGGATTCATTTATATAGATTTGATTTAATTTTGATTAATATTTTGCTTGAACTTACAAGCATATGTATGTATCTCTGTTTACATTAAGAGCGGATGTCAATCATTTTCAATTGCAATCTTTCAGCTTTCTCCTTTTCAAGTTCATTGATTCAGATAAGCGTCATAAACACCAAGATTGCCAATGTGACATTCATCATCGACTATTGGTGGCGGTCAATTCTATCTTTATTTTAGCTTTAATTTTCGATTATTATTTGATACAAATTTCATTGAAAAAACTAATTTTGCTATACAAAAATCAGATTTTCTTCCCTCGTTCTTATTATAAAATCATTTTTTAACACCGTGCTTATTATTTAAGTTTGTAAAGCAGATCGAAGAGTTCCGACAACAACAAGATACATATGCTTGCAAGAACCAATGCGGCTTACATATTAATTATAAATATATTCAATATATACCTACACACATAAATGTACATGCCTATATTTTATATGTTTTTCAAATCTGTTACAATGTCTTTATTTTGTTGTTTCGTTTTGTAATAAATATTTTTTGTTCTCTATAAGGAACGTGAACGGTATCGAGATCCCGTCAGGGAATGCCTGAAGGCACTTGTCGCTATTGGATGGCGAATTGAACAGTCAGATATCGATGCTCCACTCAATCATCGTGGATCAACACGACGTCAATCCAAACCACAAATCGTATGTATTCAACAGTATACCAAACAGCTCTCAATTAACTCTAATGGAGGACTTCGTGTGAAGAAGCCGGAAATTATTGAAATGAAACTAAAACGAAGGTTAATAGATTTTCTAATATTTTTTGAGTCATCAAATAATTCGCATAGCAGAACTCTGCGTGATGGACTTCGGTTAGATCCGTGCTTTTAAACTTCAACAGTGGCGCGCTATGGAATGAAATTGCGTTATTGCGAATTTCGCTTGTTTACACAGTTCACAATATTATTATATGTTCATGGTTACATACTTCGTTTCCGCTTTCCGCCCTCTGATCCTTGAAACAGATTATTTTGCAAATTGAAGCGCAACAAATACTAGTCCCTCAGGAACCAGGCGTTCTATCGGTGATTTTATAGTCATGCTTAAATTTTTGAAAACATACATAAATTTAGGGAAAATTTGCAATAAATCTCGGAATATTTGTGTTAAGTCATCAATAATATAGAATAAATCAGGATTGCGTATATATGAGCATATGCCTTCCTCCAATTTCTCAACCTGCGCTTCCCCATCAAAAGTAATTGATTTAATTTATTCGGCTGACAATTCGACAACTAACGAAAATTTCCACAAGAAATAATACATAGTACACATTTGAAATCCGATCTTCACATTTCTACCGCAGTTCAGAATGCAACCATTTTATGTACACAATATATTATATTAGATAATCCTAATATTGTGTTTGGCTATAAAGATTTTCTTTCTTATTACAAAAGGAGATCGCGATGCTAAACTCTTAACTAGAAAAATGTATATGTATGTAGTTACCTAATTTTTAGGTTTTGTAATATATAGAGGTAGAAAAAACGTAGATTGTAAAACTTTCCGGATTTTCTCGCACAGAGTACTTCTGACGGTCCAAATTACAAAAGAAATTACTAACAAACAACCTTTTTATGCATATACTCGTATCCCAAACCATTGGCACAAAACTACTATTCAATCCAACCAACTGATAAATTCCTGTACCCGAAATTATGGCTCTCTTCAAATAAGCAGAATGATTTTCAGAATGAAAGCAGTCCCTTCAACTACAACCCACATCCGGTAGATATGACAAATCTAACGCTAAGCAGAGAAATGCAAAATATGGCAGAACGTTTGGCTGAAAATTCTCACGATATTTGGGCCAAGAAGAAAAAAGAGGAGCTTAACTCTTGCGGTGGTGTCATACATCCGCAACTAGTCCCATATGACTTATTAACAGATAAAGAAAAACGCAAAGATCGGGAACGTTCACAAGAATTCTTAAAGTATATGCAGTATCAAGGCTACAAATTGCATAAGTAAGTAATTCTACATTCAGATCCTATTTTAATTGTAATTATATAATCAAGATAAAAACTGATTTCTGATTGCATTCATATCACACTATGGTTGACATGTCCAAGCTCTGCGGCTAAAAGATTGTTTAAAAAAAAAATCAGAACTGTACTTGGAATTTCGAAAACATAAAATTTGTGTTTTTTAAATTTTGTATGCTGTATGTTTCCTTCTTAGCCTCTTTCATATCCTAATAAATTTTTTAAATATACAATTTTCAATTATAAAAAATTAATTCACCATCCTAAAACTCTTTGTGGCAGAAAGTTGATAACTCATAAATTTTTTTTTGTTCTCCTTAATATACAATTGACTTTACTCGGCATGAAGCAATTGGTACGGTAATTGTTTGCACGTTTGCTAAACTTTTATTTTCGATGCAACAGATAACATAAAAAATACCAGAGATGCTCAACTGACGAAGCGATGCCACTGTGTACTTTAAAATTATCTGTTAGCTGTTTAACATTAATGTCGCTTAGAAAATTAGCCCGATATAGTACTTTTATAAGTGCAAGGCAACATAACTTTATAAAAGTTTAAAAGACGTCACCGGTACACAATTTAAATAACAAAACCAAAGATAGCAATCGAAAGCAGACAAGTCATTGCATGCTCTCACAATCACATACAACGCAAATATGTATGTGTATATTTAATAACCAGGCATAGAATATTTTTTACATACTCTGGATATCTTCGGAAATGCATCTAATGCATGAACACATCTTGATAAATAGTCGTACTATCATAAAATATTAGTTGCAGACTTCATCAGCTGCTTCAGCCTGGACAACAGTTCTGTTCGGAGACCTGACAACATGCAGTACAATTGCTATTTAACTTTACCGAACCGCGCTTCTTAAGGCAAAAAGCCAGTAGCAGAGAGAGCTCAACTTTCACATTCGTTACTTGCCAATTCTTAATGACATTTCTCACCGAACAGAGTTAATAAATTTAGAAATCCAAACGAAAACTAAAAACGTAAATAACATTTTCAGACGTTGTTAAAGGAGCAACATTTTTTTAATCACACAGAACTGCATTTGCCATAATGTAGACAATTATTCACCTTAATCATTTGTTGTGGTGATAAACTTGAAAAAATGTTATGTTAATTACTTCCGAAGAGGATTCGTATTAATCTCTTTTCTTCTTTTTAAACACATTTCTGTTAATCTCCTGACTTTCTTATGTGATTAAACCTGTTTGATTATTTTTGCCATTATGTCTAAATAGGCCGTCTAAGGGTGGAGCCACAGAAGGTGAAGGAGGTGCCACACAAGCAGCAGTTGAGCTTCGTTTCTCATATTCTCTGCTCGAAAAATTAATTCAGTATCTTGATCGAGCCACAATTAACATGAAATTGCTGAAGCCATCTACGACATTTAGCAGACGTTCATCATTCAAAACAGCATCTCGAGATATTAAATTCTTCTCGAAAGTTGTTCTTCCACTAATGGAAAAATACTTTTCAACGCATCGTAATTACTTTGTTGCAATGGCCACAGCAACAAATATAACAGGGGCAGCTTCATTAAAAGAAAAGGAAATGGTGGCATCCATATTTTGTAAATTAGCGTCGCTTCTTCGGAATCGCCTCAGTGCTTTTGGTCCCGATGTACGAATTACAGTAAGATGCCTTCAGGTATTAGTGAAGGGTATTGATGCTAAAACTCTGGTGAAAAATTGTCCCGAATTTATAAGAACATCAATGTTGACGTTTTTCAACCAAACTGCCGACGATCTGGGGAACACCATTCTCAACTTACAAGAGGGAAAATACAGCCATCTTCGAGGCACACATTTAAAGACCTCTACTTCACTAGGTTATGTAAATCAAGTAGTGCTACCGGCACTAACAGCTATGTTCGACCACTTAGCTGCTTGCGACTATGGTAGTGATCTCCTATTAGACGAGATACAAGTAGCCTCCTACAAAATATTAGCAGCTTTATATCATCTCGGCACAGATGGCACACTTACGCACGACCGGAAATATCTGAAAACAGAAATAGAACGGCATCGACCTGCGCTTGGCTCGTGCTTAGGAGCATTCAGCTCTTGCTTTCCTGTCGCTTTCTTAGAGCCGCATCTCAATAAACACAATCAATATTCACTACTGAACCGAATAGCTGATCATTCATTAGAGGCTCAAGATATAATGGTTCGAATGGAGAGTTGCATGCCAAATCTGGAAACAATTCTGGGAGAAGTAGATCTCTTTGTGGAATCTGAAAAAACTTACAACGACGCTCCACATATAATAGACGTAATTTTGCCATTACTTTGCTCTTACTTACCATTTTGGTGGGCGCAAGGGCCGGATAATGTGAGTCCGACCAGTGGAAATCATGTGACCATGGTTACAGCGGATCATATGAACTCTCTTTTACGCAATGTGCTAAAAATGATAAAAAAGAATATTGGTAACGACAATGCGCCATGGATGACCAGGATTGCCGCATACACGCAACAAATAATTATTAACACTTCAGAAGAGTTACTGATAGATCCGTTCCTGCCCCTCGCAGAGCGTGTTAAGAAACGAACTGAAAACATGTTTCATAAAGAGGAAAGCATGCGTGGTTTCATTAAATCAGCTACCGATGATACATCTCAGGTTGAAACTCAACTACAAGAAGATTGGCAACTACTTGTCCGTGATATTTATTCATTTTATCCACTTTTAATTAAATATGTTGACTTACAACGTAACCATTGGCTTAAGGACAACATCCCTGAAGCAGAAGATTTATACAATCATGTTGCCGAGATATTTAACATTTGGTCGAAGAGCCAATACTTCCTTAAGGAAGAACAAAACTTTATATCTACCAACGAAATCGATAATATGGCACTAATTATGCCAACGGCGACAAGGCGATCAGCTATTACTGAGGGAGCACCAGTAACCGGGGGTAAGGTGAAGAAGAAGAAGAAAAATAGGGATAAAAAGAGGGATAAAGATAAGGAAGTACAAGCCAGTCTTATGGTGGCTTGTCTGAAGCGTTTACTTCCAGTTGGTTTAAATTTATTTGCTGGGCGAGAGCAGGAGCTTGTACAACACTGTAAAGATCGTTATTTGAAAAAAATGCAAGAGTACGACGTCATAGAATTCGCTAGAAATCAGTTGACCCTTCCTGATAAATTAGATCCTTCAGATGAAATGTCATGGCAACATTATCTATACTCGAAATTGGGAAAGAGAGACGAGTTCGCAGATGAGCAAGCTCTAGAAAAGGCTTCCAATCAAAATGATAAAGGAAAGGATAAAACCCAGGAGACCGTTGATCGTATTGTTGCCATGGCTAAAGTACTTTTCGGATTACATATGGTAAGGATGAATTAATTTAAAGTTTATTGAATATATATATTATAAAACACAGTGTAAAAGCTGACTGGGGTTAAAAATCGAATTTTATTTGTATTTGTTTCATATATTTTTGTATTTTTTTATTATGTTTTTTTTTTTTTAAAACATATCTATATTATTTTAAATACAACATTTTTCTTAATTACTATTTCACACTTCCGCGCAACGACATCAACATCAACAATAACAACTACAACACACGAAACTTTAATTATCCCGATTGATACTTGATCAAACTTATTGAAATTTCGGTGAACGCCACATTTACAGATTGACCATCCCCAACAACAAAGCAAGAACGTCTACAGGAGTGTTGTATCTATACAAAGGAAGCGTGCCGTTATCGCATGTTTCCGCCAGACATCTCTACATTCTCTACCCAGGTTTTTAACAAATGAGAACAGTTTTCGCTTGCTCAATACACTAACAGTCATATTGCCCATAGATGAGTAGTGTAGTGTTTTGACTAAAGGCTGAAACATACATACTTAATTCATATTCAGTTCATTTGTGTGATACAAAAGTAAATCATGATGCCCATGTCTTCTGTATTTATTATTATTATGTATTCTTTGATATCGTTACTAATATTTTTTCCGTACTAACCCCATATGTATGGTTCGTGTACTTTTTGCAATGCTTTAACTAGCTGATACCGTGTATTGTGTCCTTAATTCCTTCCTAGGCATCACGTCCTAAGCAAAGCAGCAAACGTTGGAATTCGAAAATTACATTGGCCCGACGCCAGGCAGTCATATCCAGCTTGCGCGCTATACATCTCTATCGCATGAGCAGGTACACTTCCACCTGTTGTTAAATGCACCAAGCAGATATAGTCAAAATTTCATTACATTACCTCATTGAAAAGATATTACCGTTACATAAAGATCCATGCATTCGCAGCACAACATGGAGTTCTCATATGAATGTTACAACCATGAGATTAAATTATGTTGTATATGTCTTTAAAAACTAACTCGACTAACTGAATGCATGCACCTTTCGTATTTTTTTTTTCTTTTTTTCGAAAAATGTCCAACCAGTAGCGTATTCAGCATCAGCGTTTCTTCAACAAAAGACATTTTAAAGAAAAAATCCACGGTAGCCGATTGGCTAGCATTGCGTACTGCCATTCGGAAGGCACGGGTTCGAATCCCCGTGCGACCAACATCCAGAATTAATAGAAAATTAATTTAAATAAAAAATTAAGCTAAATTTTCCATTTGCGGTCGCCCCTTGGCAGGGAATGTCAACACCTCCGAGTGTATTTCGGATATAAAATAAAAAAGGCTCCTCATATAAAACCATCAGCCGTTCGGAGGCGGCTTATTATAAACTGTAGGTCGCTACATTTTTTGGAAAAACATCAAGACGCAAAACGCAAATTGAAGGAGGAGCTCGGCTGAAAATAGCATTAGGGATTACAAAGCGCCAATTATATATAAATATAAACCAGTAATTTAATTTAATTTAAGATTTATATTCAAGAAAATTTTTAGTGAAAACCGCTGATCATGAATAATTGCTGATTTGGACAAGTTTTACTTTTGCTATAAAAACATATCCTAATAATAAAATTTGTATTTTAATAGACATCGTGCCTGTAATATTTTTGCAAGATCTTACTATGAGCAATGGCTTCAAGAGGAAAATGTAGGTCAAGAGATAATGATAGAAGATTTAACACAGACATTTGAGGAGTCCGAGAAATCAAAGAAAGACGAGGAGGAATCTGAAGGTAAGCCAGATCCTCTAACTCAACTGGTAACAACCTTCTGTCGCGGGGCGATGACCGAACGGAGCGGTGCATTACAAGAGGATTTACTCTATATGTCGTACGCTCAAATTGCTGCAAAATCCTGTGGAGAAGAGGAAGAAGAAGGGGGCGATGAAGAAGGTGGTGGAGAAGGTGGCGAAGAAGGTGCTAGCATACATGTAAGTTGGCACATCCTTCAAACTGAAGCCACATAACATATTACTAACTGGCTACAAACATATGTATATTATTTACTAAGAACAATTTTAACTTTGGCATGCTGCTAAATAAAGCGCACAATTCCTAAACTTGTGGTATTAAGTTACACATATGTAAGAACATAAAAGCGAATATAACAATATTGTATATTTAATTTATAATGGAATATAATTTTAAAAAATACAGGAACAGGAAATGGAGAAGCAAAAACTTCTGTTTCACCAAGCACGACTCTCAAATCGTGGAGTTGCCGAAATGGTTCTTCTTCATATATCAGCCTCAAAGGGTATACCATCTGAAATGGTCATGACCACACTCAATTTGGGCATAGCAATATTACGTGGCGGCAATATTGATATTCAAATGGGAATGTTAAATCATCTTAAGGAGAAAAAGGACGTAGGCTTCTTTACATCCATAGCTGGACTTATGAATTCTTGTAGTGTATTAGATTTGGATGCATTTGAACGCAACACGAAAGCAGAAGGTATGTATCTAAATCTATTGATCAAAGCCATAGGGTATTCCACATTTTTCATTAAATATCTTTTTGCTCAAATCTCCTCCTAAAATTATCTCCGAGATTTGTATGATTATTTACAACTCATCGGTTAAGCGTATAGCAGCAAAATATCAAACACTTGCGCGTTATGAGTGAGAAAAAATTTTGCGCTGTTTAACAATCAATTGGGCAGACTAATGCATATGTACAATATCTTCTACATATATATTTGCAATTTACACTCATACATACTTATAGTCAGATAAAAAATATAAAGAAGTCGATGGCTCTCTTATGGAATACCCAATGGTAGTTAAACATTTGTCTACATTTTTGTAACATAAAAAACTGAAGTCAAAAATCCTTCCTAAACAAACCTTTCCGAATCCTAAGTAGTTTTATTAAATTGCTCAAATGTGCTAATATATTCATACGATTTATGTTAATATTTTTGTTTATTTGTTAGCAGCGTTTTTATAAGGTTTTGTAAGTACAATTTAAGGTTATAAGGGATGTATGTATAAGTAATGTATAAGTAATGTATGGGGTATTCATAATTTATTACATAAAACATTCCATTGTTGGAAATTTGTTGATATAGCCGGATTACCGCTTTGCACAATTCAAAGAAAAATATTTTTAAGTTAGTTTCAATGTTAATTTTAGTCAATAACTGAAGGTTTGCTCACCAATAGCGATGGAAGTTTGAAATTTCCTTCCGAAGTATTAAAAAGCTTGCAATTAAAATAATAAGAGAAATGAGGGAAATTTAACGAAAATATTATACGAAGTATTGATAGCAAGCAATAATTTTTAATAACCAAAGAGTTGTTCCACTCCCAAAAGTAGAGTATTGGAATAACAACAATAGCATCAGAACATTTCAATTCAATAATAAAATTAAAGCATCGCATGAACACATCACAGCAACATTATTAACAAATACATTCTTTGAGGGAGATGGATCAGGGGTAATCGACGACAAAAATATTGATTGATAAATGTTTCTTTCCTCTGTACTACAAGACAGTTTCATTCGAAAAAATTAAGATTGACACTCCATAACTTGTCCAAACAAATTTCCTCAGTTATTTGAGATAACAAATGCCGCAAACTTTGAAAGTAAGTGTAACCAAAATACAAGTTTAAAAATTATTGCAATTGTAGAGTTCAAGTACTCTAAATTCTTTTAATAAAAGTGGGAATATTGCTTTAGATGTTTATATTATACAATAAAAATTTCATTTTGGACGGAAATTATTTAAAGAAGGAAATGTTTCAATATATGTTCAACGCAATTATACTGGAATTTAACACTAAATTTTACTCCTTGATTTCAAACCTTAAACATTGTTTTTTTTCTGATTAGAGCAATACTATAATAAATAAAGTTAACTGATCGAAATTTCATAATACCACCTTTCGGGCATTTGCTTTAATCGCTCCTAATATCCCGTGACCGAAAACGGTTGACATAAATTCGATGGGAACGAAATAGAACTCGATCGTATAGCGCACTGTACAGGAAAAGGCATTTATCGGTACCAATTAGTCGAAATAAAAGACATTTTTTCACGAATAAAACTACAGCGTAATGGCCCAGCAACACAAGAAATATTGAAGCCCACAATGGGACATTCGCAATTTTTGTCCTACAAAAAAAAATTAAATTTTAACCATAATTTTTAAAGATCCAACGAATGCAACGCATGGATGAATAATTTCCGTTTTAATATTTACCATCGTTTTTCCCTGCTCCTAAATTTCCTCTCACTTCTATCGCCAAAGCTTATTCAAATGTGACGAAATAAAAGTTGAGCAAAATTAGTTATTGAATCATAGTCTACGTCGAATAGTATATAATATTCATTATGAATAATATTTGCCTTTTCACTTTATTGCTATATAGACTTTATTAATCCCTATTAACAGGCCTATTTTCACTGTTACCGGTAAAGCAAACTTTGTTACCTTTCTTTAACACCCGAAATTGAATTTGGTATTCTGGTGAACTGGTTATAATGTTTGAAAGTAATTTCGCAGCACTGCTTTTTCGCCTATGTTCAATTACATTTGCCAGTTGATAAAGTAAAAAGAAAACTTTTCACATCGAAATGAAAGACGGTGCACAAAAAAATTAAAAAGTTTTATTAATTTGTGTATTAAATCATAAATATTTGAACCTAATTATGGAAAATATGCTTGGATAACAAAAAAAGCTGAATGAAAACGTTATCTTACAAATTAAAGAGCTATTTTTTAGTCTCGAAAACTTCTTAAAATACGGCTTTTTGTACTTTTTTCTTCATCTTCAATGAATTCCAGGCCTAAAATATGCCTACCCATTTTGGTTTTTTATTTTTTCTCAAATTTACAACACAAAATCAAACAGGTGATATTTTTGTTACCTTCTATTTCGCTGGTAACAAAATTTAGAATACGAAATGGTAACAAAATTTACTGAACCTCGACAGAAAAGGCCTGTAAAACAACTCCTGCAACAATAGAAATATTCATTTTACGCTGAGTTTTGGTGGGTGGTTAATATGTTTTATCAAGGTAGTACTTACTTAGTTATATTATTGATATATGTTGTTTATTTCAAATTTACTTTCTGTTATGTTAAATTTATTAATTCACAATTATGTACACATATGTATGTATGTGTAAACATTATATTTTATGATTTAAAAACGACACGCCCATCTGTTGCACATTTATCCAATTACACCTTCGTCCTGGCCTTGGTTTATAATTTGGCGAATAAACCATAAAACCTCGCATGTCCCTACGTCCCCAAACCTATATACACAAATCAAATCTTTGCAACAAAGAGTACATTCCAAGTGCGGGCGCAGGTCTCGGCGTGGGTTCGGAAGGCGCTGCAGGCGAGAAAAATATGCATGATGCTGAGTTCACTTGTGCACTATTCCGTTTCATTCAGCTAACCTGCGAGGGTCACAATCTTGGTGAGTGCTTAAAAGTGAAAACATTTTTTAAAAGAATTAACAAAACCAAAATTTAAATATTTATATTAAATTTCTAGATTGGCAAAACTATCTGCGTACTCAGGCGGGCAACACTACCACGGTTAATGTTGTAATCTGCACAGTTGATTATTTATTGCGGCTACAAGAATCTATAATGGACTTTTATTGGCATTACTCTAGTAAAGAGATTATTGATCCGGCAGGAAAGGCAAATTTCTTCAAAGCTATCGGTGTGGCAAGTCAAGTGTTCAATACACTAACAGAGGTTATTCAAGGTCCATGTACATTGAATCAACAAGCACTTGCGCATTCACGTTTGTGGGACGCAGTTGGTGGTTTTCTTTTCCTTTTCTCACATATGCAGGACAAATTATCTAAGCATTCAAGTCAAGTGGACTTGCTTAAGGAGCTTCTTAATTTGCAGAAAGATATGATTACTATGATGCTCTCCATGCTCGAAGGAAATGTCGTAAATGGCAAGTACAATCTACAAAAACAAAAAAGCTTAATCGAATTACTTACATATTTTACTTTTGAGTTGATTTCGAACCTTGCTTGAGCCCTTAATCTATGAGAAGATTGGAAGTTGAAGCTATCTAACCTCACTTTCGTTAAATATCTGTTACTGAAATGCTGAGAGTTTTTAAACCTATCAAACTTTTTAGTCCCGAATCAAAAAGATTTACTATGCCGTTACAAAATAATAATAATTTCATATATGTAAACAAAAATTCAATTTATTTGGGAAATTACTTTGAATTATTATAGGAGATTTTATTTCATGTTAGTTATACACTCGAAGGGAAAGAAGACATTAACTTAATTCTATTTAAATAATGTTCTTTAATTTTAAATGTTGTTCAGTGCACTCCTTCCACACGGAAGTAAACACAGCTTACTGCTATTAGCATTAATTATTTGTTGAATGAATTCCTTAAATAGTCTAAGTTACACCATCAAATTTAAATGGTGTCGTGAATATCGAGATGGCGATGGGAAAAACTTGAGAGGATATAGCGCCATTTTATCCTAAAATATAAATTATGCACTTTAACAAATGCAGTTATCTTGCTACAAACTGACCTAAGCATGAATTGTGAAAAATTAATTTATTAGGGGCCTAAATCTGCGCATGATGTAGATATACCACTTTCCTCAGCTAAATCTGTTTTCAGACTAGCTTACACCACACCAGCAGATGACAGGGTGAAACCACGTGCAATTGACCCCAGTGAAAAGAGTTAAATTTTTACTCCTTCTAAACATGACCTCCTTAAGTATGGTAGAAGGAGGGTTGTTTCTGAAATAACTGCTCTGTCAATGCTTTCCGTTATCGATTGCTCGGAAATTTCTTCTTTAATTACTTAAAACAACTTCTTGTCTGCTTATAAAATTTCCTTGAAATATCTCTAGATCTGTGAGACAACTCCTTATCTCCTTGAATGCATTTTAAATTTTTCTAAAGTTGTAATAAACAATCATGAAAGGCATACACTCGATGAACTTCATTGAACTTTTAAGCATTTAAAAATTATGAAAATTCTCCACATGATTTGTATTTCAAAATTTTAGATATTTTTTTTAATGTCAGATATCTATGAAACCGACTACTAAGAGAGAGAATGAAACTATATTTAAATTATTGTATGATGGTTACAATAATGGCAGGTTCATTTTTTAGTCCTCTGCTTCTTTTAGAAATCAAATTTAATGTCCCGTTTAGAACATCCAGACAATTTTTGCAGCGAGAAAGCGCAATTTCGACATTGATTCGACTAATATTGAAGATTATAGAAAATTAATTTGTCTAATTGCGGTGGGCCCTCAACAGAGAATGTAAAACATGCAGAGTTCGAAAATTTAGATGTAGTTTTTTTTTGAAGTTTCTAACCCTTTCCCTTTTACGCCACACTGAAATCAGCAATTTATTAGAATACCGAGTTATTTACATAGCATTCCACGGTATATTCGAGAATGTTCAATTTTACTTCGATTCCTTAACTGGAGGGGGCGACTACTATATGAATTTAATGGTAATATTTGGCGGCCGATAGCCTAGTGGTTAGCATTGCATAACCATTCGGAAGCTCGGTGCGACCAACATCCAAAAGTTATAGAAAATTAATTTAAATAAAAAATTAAGCTAAATATTCTAATTGAGGGTCGCCCCTCGGCAGGGAATGTCCGCCCCTACGAGTGTATTTCGGACATTAAATAAAAAAGGCTCCTCGTAAAAAGCCATCAGCCGTTCGGAGGCTTAAACGTTCGGCTTAGTACAAACTGTAGGTCCGTTCATTTGTTGGAAAAACATCAAGACGGCAAACCTCAAATTGGAAGAGAAGTTCGGCGGAAAATCGCTTCAGCGGTTACAAAGCGCCAATTATACATATGTAATGGAGCCTTAAGTCGATGATTTGTGTTGCGTGCCAGAAACAATATTGGCAGATTCCGTGATTTAGCACGAATTCGGCTATCTTTCTTACTAGGCGGCGATACAATTTTATTCATTAGTTATTGGTAGCCCACTTTTTTTTTGTAAAATATGTTTCGAATTGTTTCTAAATTAGCCACGGAATCGGGAAAGCAAATATTCATTGATGGTTACATTTTAGATTATACTTAATAAATGATTTATTAGCTGCTATTAAATATTTATGTAGTCGCATAGGTGATGATCAAGAAATATTAAGTACAAAACGAGAAGAAACTTGAAACAAAACCATGTTCCATCCTCCAAGGAAAGTAGGGGTCATAAAAAAGAACATGCTTCATGAACTGATAAAGGGCTTCTAAAGGTCCAAACTTAAGAGAAAACATTGTTTAAAAACACACGCAAAGAAGTTGACATTAAGTGCCGAGAGGCGACCGCATTTAGAAAAAAATTTTATACTTTTTTCTAATTTTGATTTGTGATGAATGTGAATTCAAATAAAATTTAATTTGTGAATAGAACAAACTTTCAAATCGAGCTTAGAAGTAAAGAGCATAGTATCAACCAATATACCGTTAACCCCAAAAATCTCTCGTTGTTTTTAAAAAAATAGTAAAATTATCTAATTTTAATTTCTGTGCAGGTACAATTGGAAAACAAATGGTGGATACATTGGTGGAGTCTGCTAGTAACGTGGAATTGATTCTTAAATACTTTGATATGTTCCTTAAGCTGAAAGATTTAATCGAGTCTCCGAGTTTTGCTGAGATTGATATTAAGAATGAGGGTTGGGTGACACCCAAGGATTTCAGAGACAAAATGGAGCAATCAAAGAATTACACACCGTGAGTTTAAAACAATTATATTATTTAAAATATATTTTAAATCGATACATTTAACAGGGAGGAAATGGACTTTCTTTTGGCTTGTTGCGAACGTAACCACGAGGGAAAAATTGATTATGGAGATTTTGTCGATCGTTTTCATGAACCGTCAAAAGAGATCGGTTTTAATTTGGCTGTATTATTAACTAATCTCAGTGAGCATATGCCCAATGAGCCTCGATTAGCTAGGTTCTTAGAGACAGCAGGATCTGTGCTTAATTATTTCGAACCTTTCCTCGGTCGCATTGAAATTTTAGGTAGCTCGAAACGAATTGAACGCGTATACTTCGAAATCAAAGATTCAAATATTGAACAATGGGAAAAGCCACAAATTAAGGAATCAAAGAGGGCATTTTTCTATTCAATTGTTACTGAGGGTGGTGACAAAGAGAAACTGGAAGCGTTTGTTAATTTCTGCGAGGATGCTATATTTGAAATGACGCATGCTTCAGGCCTAATGGCAACAGATGACGGCGGTGGTAATGTAAAGCGGGACACTGCTTACAGCTCATATATGAGTGAAGAAGAGGAGGAGCGTGCGGCTCGTGATCCCATTCGCCGTACAATGCAAGCAATTAAAGATGGCCTTAAATTTTTTGTACATATGCTAAGTCCATCGAATATAAAGCATCAAATTGGTGTAATGCAAACCAAATCGATACCGGAACTGATAATTGGATTCTTCAAAATGATATTCTATATGTTCTATTACACTGGCTATGGCAATTTCTGCGTAGTTCGCTTCATTTTTGGAATATTGATGAACTTAATGCGTGGTCCAGCGCCTGAAGAAGTTGAAGCTCCACCAGCGGAGGAAGAACCGTTTGGCAGGGCTTTGCCGCCGTTACCGATCGAAGAACCACCTGGCCCTGTTCAGGCGTTTGGACTTGAAATAAACAAGGAAGATAATGGACAATATAAAGTAACAGTTCGTGAATCTCCTGGAGGAAGTGGAAGTTCGTCCTTAGAAGAAACAGGTGAATCAAGTCCAGAGGATGGGGGAGCTACTGCTGATCAACCAATAGATGGTGACGCATATCAACTCCAAGAACCCATTTCAATCGTTGATCTGTTGGGAGGAGAAGCTGCCAAGAAAGCAGCTCAAGAACGCCAAGAAGCTCAAAAAGCCCAGGAAGCAGCAATGGCCTCCATTGAAGCAGAAGCTAAAAAGAAATCATCAGCAACTGCTCAAGAAACTCCTGCTGTTAACCAAATTGACTTTGCACAGTATGCACATCGTGCAGTTAGTTTTCTCGCTCGAAATTTTTACAATCTGAAATATGTCGCATTGGTTCTTGCCTTTAGCATTAATTTTATGTTACTCTTTTATAAAGTAACATCTTTTGGCGATGATGAAGAAGCCTCTGGCGATGATGAACTTATCCTTGGATCAGGATCGGGCGGCGGTCTAGCAGCGTCGGGATTCGGCGGCGGTTCTGGAGATGGATCTGGAGATGGAGAAGGCGATGAAGAAGATTTGCCAGAATTAGTGCACGTGGACGAGGACTTCTTTTACATGGCTCATGTGATACGTATTGCGGCATTTTTGCACAGCTTAGTCTCCCTTGCCATGCTAATTGCATACTATCATTTAAAAGTGCCTTTAGCTATTTTTAAGAGGGAGAAAGAAATTGCACGTCGTTTGGAATTTGATGGCCTTTTCATTGCTGATCAACCGGAAGATGATGATTTTAAGTCACATTGGGATAAGTTAGTGATTTCCGCTAAATCATTTCCCGTTAATTATTGGGACAAATTTGTAAAGAAGAAAGTGAGACAAAAGTATAGTGAAACTTATGACTTCGACTCTATTTCAAATCTTCTGGGTATGGAGAAAAGCGCTTTCATGGCTCAAGAGAGCGAAGAAGGTGGTTTGGTTAAATACATAATGAATATAGATTGGCGGTACCAGGTGTGGAAAGCAGGCGTTACGTTCACAGACAACGCTTTCCTTTACTCGCTGTGGTATTTCTCTTTCTCTGTAATGGGCAATTTCAACAACTTTTTCTTTGCTGCTCATCTTCTCGATGTCGCTGTTGGCTTCAAAACTCTACGAACCATTTTACAATCAGTCACACACAACGGAAAGCAACTTGTTCTTACCGTAATGCTCCTTACAATTATTGTATACATATATACAGTAATTGCTTTTAATTTCTTCCGCAAATTTTACATCCAAGAAGAGGATGAGGAGGTGGATAAAAAATGTCATGACATGTTAACATGTTTTGTTTTCCATTTATATAAAGGAGTAAGAGCAGGCGGAGGTATTGGTGATGAAATTGGTGATCCCGATGGAGACGATTACGAAGTTTACCGAATCATATTTGATATCACATTCTTCTTCTTTGTAATTATTATTCTACTCGCTATTATTCAAGGTTTAATTATTGATGCTTTTGGCGAACTTCGTGATCAACTTGAATCTGTAAAAGAAAATATGGAATCGAATTGCTTCATATGTGGCATGGGTAAAGATTTCTTTGATATCGTTCCACATGGTTTTGATACGCATGTACAAAAGGAGCATAATTTAGCAAATTACATGTTCTTCTTAATGCATCTCATCAATAAACCTGACACAGAGTATACTGGTCAAGAAACTTATGTGTGGAATATGTATCAACAGCGCAGCTGGGACTTCTTCCCAGTAGGTGATTGCTTCCGTAAGCAATATGAAGACGAACTTTCCGGAGGGGGTGGTGGATAAATCAAACCATTTGTGTAATACAAAATAGACAACGCATAAATGATCAATCCGAACAGCTAAAATTTAAAACAATTATTTATATACACTTACTTGTACATTTCGTTGATAATACAAAAAATATGTATGTAAACAGTTTTCCCTTTTTCTGAATATCAAAATTATTCTCTAGTAATCAAAGTAATTAACTTGAAAAGTTTATAATAAAAGAGTAATTTTCAATAGACGTTTTTTCATTGTCCGCACAAAACATAATAGAGATAAGGTAAGTAAGAAACTGACAAACTTTAAAATTAAATGACGAAATATAGAAGGCGATGTATGAAACAATAGAGGAACGTAGTGTTCTCAAAAGAGGAAATGGTTAATCTACAATTAAACACCAATATTCTTTTATTGAAAAGACGTTTGAGCGTTTCGATATGACCGTAGAAATATCGAAAAAATTTTCAATTTGAAAAAAGAAATGTGTCAATAAACCACGGGCAGGGGTTAGTTTGAATGCTACCCCAGAGCCACTTAATCGGAGAAGGTGGGAGCAAAGCTTCGTTGTTTCTTTTTTGTCTTACTGATCGGAGGAAAATATCCGACTAGATAGACTTCGCTGTTTCAAGAAAACTCGACCGGCAGTTTGTATCAGCTAGGACTGTTGCTGACTTATCCCCTCACCACTCACCAAACAATAATATAACAATTAACAAACAATCTAGTTCAAATACAAAAAAAAAATTATAAATCGTCATATTAATACGCAAAAGTGCGGCTGGCCGAGAAAACATTTCAAAACATGTTTAGTTCTTCCAAAAAAATATTCACTCTGGAATACATGTGCATAACAACTTTAGTATGTGAGTACGCCAGTAAGGAAGACAAATTTGCATCTGAACGCGTAGTATCAAAGAAAAGACAAATTGTTTTACAAAACACTTAAACACGCAACTGTGATCTTATTACACCAAAACTGCTAAAAGAGTCTCACTAGCACTGCTTTCTGAACTCTCTCTCTCTCTCTTACAATATTTTGCAGATTTTTGAAAATGAATTTATAGCTGTTTTATCATTTCTATGTATGCTATATAAACAATGTAAATGATTAAAGTGAAATATTGCAATAAAAATAAAATCTTAATAATGTTTGTATGTATGTACATATATATATATATATATATGTAGGGAACATTTTTGTCAAAGCTGATTTCCTTCGGCATCAATGCTGTCGCTCATATGGGCTCGTCTAGTACGCCACTGCTACTGGTTTTTTACATCTTCATCTTTTGGTATCAATGCTCTCGCTCAGCTGTGTTCTGTTTATCCGACAAGAATGAGGAAAATACATAAGGAAACGAAGAGAGAATGACATACACGTATACAAATGTAAACATCACATTTTTCATCTCGGCCTTAAGAAACTGATTGGAAAATCGTGGTACGAGATGACGGCATATGTCATCATGCATTCCTAACATATGTTGGCTCAAATAATCGGAAGCCTTCTTGCTGGGATAATATACACATCTCACGCGAAGAAGCCAATTTATTTCTTATGAAATCAAAAGCAGCCACCTTGGATTGGCCCTTTCGTAAAAACGCTTGTCCGAAATAGGACTGTTAAGTGTTTATTACACCAATTTGTATGTACGGTATTCAACTGAGAGGTATAAAATTCTAAAGATACTAACGGGTCATCGTGGTATGTTCGTAAAGTAAGCATACAGAAAGATCTTGACACCAGTAAGATGGTTAAGCCTGAAGTTGAAAGGAACATAATGAAGTAGCTCACAGAAATCATCCCATACCCATAATAACAACTTTAATATGAATGATACTACCAAAATAAGAACCCAAATATAGTTTTGATAAAGGAAATATAATGGTATCAACGATTAAATCAAATATTTAAAGTACTCATTAAATGCGAATGTGTCGTCAGTGTAAAGGAATCGTCGCCCGCATACCACCCAGCTTATGTTGAGAAATTAGAAGTTAGGAGTGTTGAAGACATATAATTAGATCATATTATTATTTCTTTTACAGCTCAGGTTTATTTTGGATTTCCATAATTATTAGAAAGAAGTGGCGCCCAAAGGAGAAGCAAAATATTTTCAAAGCAAAGTTTCTGCTTCCGTCACAATGACGATAATGCGGGTTAGGGGCTCAAGAATTTACCCGCGGTAAGGCATGCCTGTCGTAAGAGGCGACTAAAATCTAATAGTTCCCGCAACAGTCGGGTCTTTACACCGCAACGAGCCGGATTTTTATCCGGCCAAGGACTGTCACTCCCGCAACATTCCCCAAAAACTACTTTGAGGAATAATTTTGCGGATACAACAACAACAACAACAACATAATGCATTCTTATGTTTCCGGAAGGGACGACGACGCACAAAATGAAATATAAGTGGCGTTCTGAAAGAAAAATGAAGCTCTTGGTTTTTATTTCATCATAATCCAATAAACTCTATAACAATGTTGAGATAATGTGACTCTTCCTGAAAGTCTAAACCAAACAAATGAATAAACCGTGCAAATGAACGGATTCAAATTTAACCGCTGTTATACAACTTTTCTGTCTAATGTTTACTGAATCCTGTTCGGTGAAAACCCAGTCTATACCTTTTTTTGGGAGAATAAAACATCTTGAGTTGAGTTGAGTTAATGCGGCTGCTGGTCAACCCCAGCACACTTAGCTCAATAGGCCCATTGTGCTAGCGCTGAGGCTCCTGCCTTCACCTTCTCAATTGATCGAACCATTTCTTGTGCCACAGGCAACGAGATATCCAATGTTCGCTGAGGCCAACTCAGCGAGACAGCCGAGGAAGTGTATCCCGAAGGTCGAAGGTGTTCAGAGGAAGAGTTTGACCGTGTAGGCACTTTCGGCCCCGTCGATGGAGCTCCCAAGGAGTTTGGGACCTTTTGGTGAAGCCGTGTTCAAAAGATGCATTTTTGCCCGTGCAGGGATCCAAGGCTGGATTGTTTTTGTACATATCAACTGGTTCGTGAGTGACCTACTGACTAAGCGGGTGGGGGAGAATGTTTAAATATATTCAAGTTGAGCACTAGGCTCGTTTCAAACGTGGTCTCTAAACCCAATGCCATAAAAGTCATCGCCCATCGCATACTGTTCAAGTGACCAGGGAAGGGAAGACGCAAAACAGATCAAATAGTCAAATATCTGATCTGGACCATAAGAAGGTAAATTCATTTGCAAACAGTGAACATTTTATCAGTTCATCATTTCAGAATTGCGTTCTTGCATATATACATGATGGCAAATTCATTCATACATAAGTGCTAGACAGCAAAACCAAATATAACAGGAAGCAAATAGCCAGCGCCCGAAGTTATGCAAGGATTTACGCTCCTCGCATAAACATCTACTGAGCCGAGACCCTTCGATGAGCTGAAAAATGCTGCAGCAAGTCATCGTTACTCCCCGAGGTGGACCGCTGTTCGGAAGGCTTCGCTAGAATACTTCAAGCCATCTAATGGGCACGAAAACACATGGCACACTGGATTTGGGGGAATGCGTATGTTCGACACCCTCCACGTCTAGATCCGTGGTGTTTAGTCGGTCTAACAGGGCCGCCTCTAGAAAAATGTGAATTCCATATCGCACATCTTACTCTCTCAATTTCTTAACTGTGGATAAGCAATAATTATTCAGGAAATTCTAGGTGTAAATATCCATAGTAAAATATTTACCCAATTTCTCTTAACTCACCACCTTTTCTGATTGTTTGAGAGCTCACCAGTAAAATCAAATGAATAATGTGTACGTGTATACGACCCTTACAATAGGTGTAATAACGATAATGAATATATCGATTAATTATATCGACCATTAGTCATTAAGAATAATAAATAATTTAGTAAACATCAACTTAATTCAATATATGCTGTTCTATTAATAATTAGAAGTCTTGAAACAAATAAACAAACTTAAATTATAAAACTTCAAGGATGGCGACAGGGGTTTTGCCATTTATTCGCGGAATAGATTTTTCCAAAAATGATTTCGGTGTAAGTTTAATAACTTCTGATTTTTGTATTTGCATATGTACATAAAATTTGAAAAAGCTAATTTTTGTTCTTTCATTTTGCCTACAATTATTATTAATATCGATAGGATGACAAATTCCCCACAACCATTAAGGAAATGAATCGAGTTCAATGGCTAACTTTAGATAACACCAAGTTGTGCGAGATACCTGAGGAATTAGGGAATCTGTTTAAGCTTGAATGCCTCTCTCTGAAAAACAATTCACTCGAAAAGTTATTTGGCGAACTAACAGAGCTTCCTTGTCTGCGTTCATTAAATTTGCGACACAATCAAATAAAAAGTAGCGGTGTTCCTCCTGAACTCTTCCGATTGGAAGAACTGACCACTTTAGACCTATCACATAATAAATTGAAGGAAGTACCTGAAGGACTGGAACGGGCTAAAAGCCTTCTTGTTTTGAATTTGAGCCACAATCAAATTGAGTCCATTCCTACGGCTCTCTTCATACATTTAACAGACTTACTTTTCTTGGATCTTTCGGATAATCGTTTGGAAACATTGCCACCCCAAACTCGTCGTCTAGCAAATTTACATACCTTAAATTTAGCCAATAACCCATTGGAATTATTTCAACTCCGTCAGTTGCCATCACTACAAAGTCTAGAGAGTCTTAACATGCGCAATACACAACGGACACTACTAAACTTTCCGACTACATTAGACAGCCTATCAAATTTATCTGAATTAGATATCTCAAAAAACATGTTACCAAAAATACCGGATTGTGTATATAATTTGCCCAATCTGAAGCGAGTTAATCTAAGTGACAATGCAATTACTGAACTCAGTTCTAATATTGAATTTTGGCAAAAACTTGAAGTACTTAATTTATCTCGAAATCAGTTAACAACCTTGCCTGGAGCCATATGTAAATTAACATACCTACGATGCCTTTACGTAAATGATAATCGGTTAGATTTTGACGGAATACCCTCAGGCATAGGAAAATTGTGCTCTTTGGAGATATTTTCTGCTTCCAATAATCTTTTGGAAATGATACCGGAGGGATTATGTCGTTGCGGAGCATTAAAGAAACTGAATTTGAGCTCCAACAAACTCATAACATTGCCGGAAGCTATTCATTTGCTTGAGGGGCTAGATCAGCTCGATTTGCGCAACAATCCCGACTTAATAATGCCACCAAAACCATCAGAGGCAGTTAAAGGAGCAGGAGTTGAATTTTATAATATAGATTTTTCTCTTCAAACCCAGTTATTACTAGCTGGGGCTGCACCACCGCCCACTGTACCAGCCACATCAAGTACTAAAGATTCTACGGCACGTAAAATACGTTTACGACGGGGTCCACGTACCGATTCAGACCAAGATTCCGCAAAAATATTGAAAGGAATGAAAGACATAGCCAAAGATAAAGATGAATCTCAAGGCTCTTTTGACGACTTTCAACCAGAGTCGCTAAAACCAAAACGATGGGATGAATCATTAGAAAAACCGCATTTAGATTATTCTAAGTTTTTTGAAAAAGAGGATGGTCAAATACCTGGACTAACCATTTGGGAAATAGAAAACTTTTTGCCCAATAAAATCGAAGAAGTGGCTCATGGAAAGTTTTATGAAGGAGATTGTTATATTATACTTAAAACTTATTTAGATGAAATGGGTCAATTAGGATGGGAAATATATTTTTGGATCGGCAACGAAGCTACCCTAGATAAACGGGCATGCGCTGCAATTCATGCAGTTAATTTACGGAATTACCTTGGTGCCCGCTGTCGCACAATACGTGAGGAGCAAAGTAAGTATCTACAAACGAAAGCATGTTTTATTTGAATTAACTGAAAAATAAGATACTCGATCCACTTATAACATTGTAAAACAATTGTGACAAAACCCGCAGTTGGGTGTGTCTAATAAGTAGACGTTAAGTCTACTCAGCACCCAGAGTATTTTTGTGCCAGTATCGCGCTGGTTTCACCAATCATCTCGAGATTTTCCAACAACAACAACAAGCTCGCCATTTACAATAGGTGTAGGTTAGAATCCTATGAAACCATTCACTGGATGAGAAGTGAAGAACAAACTTTTATGTTTAACATAGCTTTGAGTATATATATTATAAATATATAGCTCGCCTTGGCGTTAACATTCACATTTTTATGAAAGACACATTAATTGGATGGAAATACAACATCTAATAATTTAACGAAATTGGTGAATGAATCTGCTAGTGTATATTATGTATGTATATACTCTGCAAGCATCGCCCGTATTTCATGCGGGAAATGGTATAATCCAAAACTAACTACGATCGATATAAAAAATTAATTAACAGTTAACCTACGAAAATATGCATTCGAACATATATTTTAGTTTGGAATACAATCGGCTTTGGCGATAATCAGGTGTGATATAAAAACCGAAACTGAGTTGCTTATTTATCGGAACTGAAAATCAATATCTCTTTGAAATGGTTTTATGAAATCGACTACATTTTGCTTTTTCGAAGATAAGCAAATCGAAACAAAGTTATGCAAAAAACCCAGCAATTCAATATGTACTGGCATTCACATTTGCTGATAAAAAATTTATTTGTGTGTAGATTCATAGACCAAAAGTTTCTTAACAAATGAATCTTTGTAACAGAGCTTGATGTCATTGGAGACAAGTTAGATAGGCTGTTTTCCAATTTGTGCTCTAACTTGCAGCAAACACTGCTGTTTTTGACAGAAGGCTGGCTTCCATCAATGGTCTATGAGCAATGACTTAAATATCTACTTAGCGCGACCTACAGTTTTGGTGATTACAATAGAGGTGCTTATGGCTGAATGATTGGTTTGGCCACGCTGGAAGTTAGTAATGGACGACAATGAAAAGCGGAGAGCTCGTGGTAACCTCCCAACCAACTGACTTATAGTTCGATTAAAATTCCGCTTGCTTGACGTTAGCACACAATTCGGTTTAATTCTGACCTTCAAATCGATATTTCGTCTTGCCCTCGTTCACTACCACACCCATATCATTCGCATCCTTAACCAGTTTGGACAAAGCAGAACTCACGGCCCGGTTTTCGAGCCCAATAATGTCAATATCATCGGCGTAAACCAGCAGCTGTACACTATTAAAGAGGATTGTACTTTTTCTACTAAGCTCGTATTATTTTTTCCTGCAATAAGTTAAAAAAGTCATACGAACGGCTCGAAGAGGTCCTTCCCTGTCCCGACGGAGCTTTTAGTGTTGCTTAAGGTCAGCTTGCACAGCCGTATAAGATTTGCGGGGATACCAAATTCAGCCATAGCGGTGTAGAGGCAGCTCCTTTCGTGCTGTCGAAGGCTGCTTTAAAATCGACGAAAAAGTAGTGGCTGTCTATCCTCAATGGTTGACTTACCAGATCTGAACCCACACTGATAAGATCCAAACAGTTTGTTGACGGTGGACTTTAGTCTTTCACACAATACGCTTCCACGCTCGTTGGTGCAGACTGTGGGATCGCTTTTTTATGGATTGGGCAGAGTACACTTAGGTTCCAATGTTGTTGTTGTTGTTGTTGTTGTAACCGCAAAATTATTCCCCAAAGTACTTTTTGGGGAATATTGCGGGAGTGACAGTCCTTGGCCGGATAAAAATCCGGGTCGTTCCGGTATAAAGACCCGACTGTCGCGAGAACTATTGGATTTTAGTCGCCTCTTACGACAGGCATGCCTTACCGCGGGTAAATTCTTGAGCCCCTAACCCGCAGGGGGACTTAGGTTCCAATCCTCGGGTATGCTTTCATCTAACAATATTTTGCAGCGAAGCTGATGCAAGCACCTTATCAGTTCTTCACCGCCGTATTTGAATAGTTCGGCCGGTAATCCATCGGATCCCGCCGCTTTGTTGTCTTTTAAGCGGGCGATTTGTATTCGGACTTCTGCATAGTCGGGTAATGGAACAACTTTTCCATCGTCATCAATTAGAGTTAGGTGTTCACCTTTTCCGGGTGTTTCATTTTCACTGCCATTCAGCAGGCTGGAGAAGCATTCCCTCCATAGTTTCAGTATACTCTGGGCATCCGTCCCTAGCTCACTCCTATGGGTCCTACAAGAGTTTGCTACTGTCTTGAAACTTCCGTAAGTCGCTGTATCTTTTCGTATAGTTTTCTAGCATTACCTTTGTTGGCCAGCTTCTCAAAATTCTCCTTTTCACGCATTTCGGACTCTTTTTTCGCCTGCAAATGCGTCTTGCTTTTCTCTTCAGCTCTCGTTATATATCTTGGCTGGGACAAGGTAGTGATTCGAGTCGATGTTAGGGACGGAGTTTTTCTCCCACCACGAATGCTACTCCAAATTTGCGCTAATTTATATGGTCCCTGTAGTAAATTTCACTAGGACCTATCTTCTTTCGTTCTTGCCCCGTCCATCGCATTTATTGGACGGCGGTTATATCAGCCTTTAATTGTATGAAGACTTCAACCAGCTTGGAATCGACACCTTCCCAATAAGGGACCGGACATTCCACGTGCATGCCCAAAAATCGTAATCCTTAAAACTTTTGCGGGGTCGTCATCAAAAGGGGGCTCTTTCTTCTGAGGCTTATTTAGATTTTTTGTTTGGTTGGTGGCCCCTAACCCGCACAACCGCATGAGGTACGCCTTCTCCCTTTAGCTCTCCTCCCAACGGATGTTTAAGGCTACACAGGGGTGATCTAAGACTGGAAATAATCAGCTGCTTGAACCATATGAAAAAAAATCGTTTCTGGTCTCTACCAGGTTATTGGCTGTCAAAACCTTTTCTGACTTGCGTGAACTTCTGCACATTGACCCATCACCATAGTTATTTATTACCAATAAACATATAACATTTTTCAATTTTTGTAATTGTTCATTTGCACAATTGCATATTACACTATATTGACCATATGGTCCACAAATGTTTTCAGGATATTAAAGCAATATAATACATTGTTCGATTTGTAACTGCTGAAAGACTAGGTTGTTTGTCGCGGTGTTTTTTCGCCTAAAAGTACTATTTTGAAAAGTTTGTTTTTAATTGAAAAAAATGTGGTAATATGTTTTAATGTTTAATTTATTTTTAATTTTGATTTAATTTGAGAAGAATTCAAAGAGCAATCATATACTATTTTTCCTTTTAATAGAAAAATACTTTTTATGATTATATTATAACATATTTGTAAATTGGCTGAAGTGAATGACTTATTATTATTCGAGTAATAAACATACACACATAAATACACAAAAATGATTAAATAAATTTTACATATCATGTACCATATGCTAGAGCTCTGGGTACCCTAGCATCTCTATACGCGGATATCGCTCTACTGTTCAAATGTTTATTTGAAATAATTCAATTTTGTTTGTCATAATTTCTTTGTCATATACTGATTGATGATTATAATGCCAGATGCGAAGTCTGATGTACGGGGTAATTAAATTGGTCGACATGGTTGACGGAAAATCTGGTTTGACGTGACTTGGGTTGATCCTTGAGTAATGATGATTATAATTTACCCAGTCGAGGGTTAATAATGTGCTTCTTTTATGTTTGATTAGTCGGTAGATGTCGCTTCTTGTAAAGTATGGAGAGGTGATGGTAGGAGTGAGAATCATTTCCTTAGCGGTTGCGTCCGCAACGGTGTTTCCACTGATGCCTGTGTGGCTGGGAATCCACATTAATTTGAGTTTGTTTGGGAGAGATATTAATTTGTCTCTTATTCCACTTATGATGTAGTTAGCGTTAATAGGGGTTTTTACCGCCATAAAGCATGAAAGACTGTCCGTACAGATTATGTATTTTCCTCTATTTAGTTCTGAGTATTCAAGAGCTTTTAGAATTGCTGTAGCTTCAGCTGTGAATATTGAGCAAAATGGAAATAGCAGCCCATAGGAAATAGGTTTTTTATCTTCTCTGACTGTGGCGAAGGAGGTGTAAGATGTTTTGGATCCATCCGTAAAAAGGAGCTTCCAGCCAGCTGATTTGAAGGGGGTAGTTATTTCAAGGAAGCGGGCTTTGTACAGGCAACTGGGCGTATTTGTTTTTTGTAATTCCACTTGGTCGATGAGGAAAGAGGATTCTTTCACTCTCCACGGTGGGTGTTTGATTCTCCAAGGGAAATGGATTTTTTTCGGTAGTGCATTGTCTTTCGCAAATAAGGCGCATTTGTAAATAGACGATGGTACCTTTGGCGAACGTTTTTTAGATAATGCTGATAGAAAATCCTGTTTCAATACGATGTTGGTGCCCATGATAAGTTTTGGATAAAGTTTACATAGGCATCTTCCACACTGTCCTTTAAAGAAGGTAGTCCAGATTCCGACAAAATGTTTTTTAGTGGAGATGTCGGAAATGCGCGAATAGAGCGGCGAACTGCAGAGTGGTAAGGTGCAGCATGCATTTTGATGTGGCTCTTAGAGTGATGGCCATATATTTCTAAGCCGTAATTAATTATAGAGGAGATGATAGACTTGGTTAAGTTTACCAGTAGAGCCGGGCCGATGAGGGAGCGTTTACTTGACAAATATTTGATAATATTTAAGTTTACAAATAGTTTTTTTCTTATGTACTGACAGTGTGGCGTAAAGGAGTACTTAGAGTCTAGAATTAATCCTAGGAACTTAAAACTATCTGTACACGCTAAATTTAAATTGTTAAAGTTAAGAGTAGGAGTGTTACAATGATGGTTTTTACAAATGTGTAGTAGTTTAGATTTAGTGGGAGAAATTGTCGTGCCTGATGACTTGGACCAATTAAATAACAAAGCTAATATTTGAGTTAAAGAAGCCATGACTAACGTTAGATCTGAAGTTTTTGAGAATAACACGAGGTCATCGGCATAAATTTGATGGTTAATGCGAGGGAAAGCAGCTAAAATATCGCTTATTTCGTTAAATGCATTTGTGAAGAGAATGGTGGAGAGAGGGGACCCTTGAGGGGTGCCATTATCAAGAGGAAGTATATCGGAACGGACGTTACTTATGAGGACAGTCATTTTGCGTGTGGAGAGGAATGATTTAATGAATTTGTATATTTTTGAGCCAACTTTCCATTTGCTCAGTTGCCTTAAAATAACGTGGCTTCCGATTCTAACAAAGGCTTTTAAAAAATCGAGCGAAAGTATTGTAACATGATTTTTGTGGGATAATGCGTCAGACACTACATGATCGAGATGCAAAAGAGCATCTAATGTTCCTTGCCCCTTTTTGAATGCGAATTGGTTGGGGTGAATAAGATTGTGGTATTGGAGTCTCGTGGTAATGATTTTCTCCATTAATTTGCCTAAGCAAGGTAGAAGAGATATGGGACGGTAGCTGCTGACTTCCCCGGGGGGCTTGCCAGGTTTTAAGATGGGTATTATAACGCTGGTCTTCCATTGGGAAGGATAGTTGCCGGTGTTGTAGATGTTGTTACAGTGGTTGGTTAGACGGGAATCTAAGAACTTGGCCGATGGAGACAGGTTGGAGGGGGATGATAGGGTGTGTTAAGGGTTGAATGTTTGCTGTGAGCAAATTCGTTAGTCTTCTTAGGTCAGACCAACTTTTTTTAGTACTTGAATTGGGATTAATTTCGCTAGTGAATTTTTGGAAGCAGATGATCTTGGCAGATTTGGCTTTGCGACGGAAGAGAGCGTTCATCTTTTTATAATTTACTAAACTGGTGACTAATCGGTTACGTTTGAACTCGTGCCAAGCAAGCTGTTTTTGTTGCCTTAGTGAACTGAGTTCACTGTTCCACCAACGTGGTGCCAATTTGGCTGGTTTGGAAGAGGATTGGGGAATGGAGTTGCTTGCAGCTATACGGATAATTTTTTGTATGCGTGAGGATTCTTGGCTTACGTTAGAGGAGATGAGAAAGAGCGTAGATTGGACTACACAAATTTCGTTGAATCGGTTCCAGTCGGCTTGGTCGGTTTCGAAGCGAACTCTGGCTTTGAAGTGGGAGGCGGGGCTAGGGGAGGAGATTCTAGAGAGGATAGGGAAGTGGTCGCTACCGTAGAGGTCGTCGATACGACACCAGGAAGTTTTGGTGGAGAAAGAGGAAGAACAGAGAGTGAGGTCTATGTGGGTGAAGGTTGAATGAGTGGAAAAGTGTGTAGGAGAACCGTCGTTGAGGATGATACAATTCGAAGTTAGGATGGCGTCTTCAATGCTTCGGCCTTTTACGTTCGTATGAGGAGAACCCCATAGAACTGAGCTGGAGAATGAGCTGTTGGGTGAGATTTGAGATAGGCGAAACGTTGGGAGAAGGGTCAGGAGGAAATGTGTAATCTATGGGCATTGGGCCGCTTGCAATTGATGCTTTGGCAGTTGCGAGAGAGTTGACGAAAGTTTGAATAGAAGGGGGGAGGAAAGAGTTGCAATTTGCTGAAATTGGTTGTATTTTGAAAAATTTTTTTGTGAAGGAGGGATGAAGTTGTTTGTTTGGGGATGTTTTTAGATGAGGATGGAATGTTGTCTTTGCTAGCAGTAATACCAGCGAAGGAGGAAGGGGAAGATTGTTTAGGTAGTTTTGAAGAGTAAATTTATTTAGCTTGCTTAATGGTACACTTTCGTTGCGTTTTGATTTTTAAGATTTCTTTTTGTTGGAGGAATCTAGGGTATTTGTTGAAGTTAGCGGGGTGGTCGGCATCGCAATTGGCACAATTAATGCGAGTGCAATCTGCACTTGGATGTGGGGGGAGGTTACACATTTCACACGTGGGATTGTTTCGACAATGTTTAATTGTATACCCCAGCCGTTGGCATTTTTTGCATCGCATTGGGTTGGGGAAGTACTCTCTTAATCGTTCCTTGCGCCAAGAAATTTTGATGAATTCAGGCAGCCGATAGAGGTCGAAAGTGAGTAAAACTACTCCGCTAGGGGCATAAACCGTTCCTTTCACAGAATTTAGATTTTCATGAAATTTGCCGTTCACTTGGCATATGCGGGGTATTTCTTTAATTGAGACAAATGTGTCTGCAGTTTTCTTATCTTTTGCTAAGATTAGTAAGCTACCATCGTTTAGCTCTGATTTAATTTTGATATCACTGCTCATTACTTGGAGGGATCTATGCACAGCGTAGCACAAATAGTGTGATAGAGGTTTTTTATCATTTGCTGCTGATATGATCAGATATTTGGGGTAAGGTAATGGTGTTGTAGAATTGGGAAATCTGTGATAGGGGATGAAGGACATTTCTTTTTTTTTTTTTTTGGAATGGGAACTGGTTGCCAACGGGGCAAACCGATTGTCCCCAAAGGTGAAAGCCCCGGGGAGCATTTTTACACTCCACTTGTCTCACTACACAAAATATATGGAAACCACGTGTAACTAAATGCGTTTTTGTGTAACGAATGATCGGTAGAAAGAAAACTAGAATAAATATCGAAAGAGTACCGTACACGATGAAGGCTAGTCGACGACTGAATGTGTAATTTATCGTTACGACTGCACCCTTGTTGCATATTTATGTTTAATAGTGTAATTTTCATTTCGTCTTGCTTGAAATGAGTGAGGTTATAGCAAACCATAAATTAAAATGTTACCGATTTATGATATGTATTTATTTATTTAAATCTTCACATATTTTATATAGACGATGAATCCGAAGAATTTCTGGCTTTGTTCGATACGGAAGTATCATATATTGAAGGTGGTCGTACGGCGACCGGGTTCTACACAGTCGAAGATATGTTATATACTATGCGTTTATATAGAGTGCATGCGGCTGGCTCATCGGTCCATTTAGAACCTGTAGCTGTGCACTTCGATTCTCTCGATCCCCGATACGCTTTTATGTTGGATTGTGGAATTAAATTGTATATATGGCTCGGATGTGCTTCAAAAAACACCTTGAATTCGAAGACTCGTCTAATGGCAGAGAAGATTAATAAAACTGAAAGGAAAAATAAATGTGAAATAATAGTGGAATTACAGGGTAAGTAAAAACCGTATACCTACGTACGTAAGTAAAATGTACATACATATAATAAAATAAAAACGTTCCTATAATAAAGGGGAGGAAAGTGAAGATTTTTGGAAAAATTTTGGCGTTGATCCCGATGAAGTATCAAAAAAGAAAATTCTTCAACATGTTCCGGATAATTTTGAACCTGTTACTCCGCGTCTTTATCAAGTGCAACTTGGTATGGGTTATTTGGAGTTACCACAAGTAGAATTGGGAGATAAGAAATTAGTCCACACTTTATTGAATAGCAAAAACGTTTATATATTGGATTGCTATACCGATTTATTCGTGTGGTTTGGTAAAAAATCAACCCGTCTCGTAAGAGCTGCAGCAATAAAGTTATCACGAGAACTTTTCCAAATGATAAATCGCCCAACATTTGCTTTGGTGACTCGCTTGCAGGAAGAGACTGAATCGCAAATATTTAAATCAAAATTTGTAGGTTGGGACGAAGTGATGGCCGTAGATTTCACACGCACAGCAAACTCGGTTGCCAAAACTGGAGCGGACTTAAACAAATGGGCTCGTAAGCAAGAAACTCGAGCTGATTTAGCTGCTCTCTTTATGCCACGCCAAAACGCAATGCCTCTTAGTGAAGCTGAACAATTAGAGGAGGACTGGAATTATGATCTTGAAGCCATGGAAGCATTCGTTTTAGAAGGAAAAAAATTTGTACGTCTACCAGAAGAAGAATTAGGCAATTTCTATACGGGAGAGTGTTATGTGTTCTTATGTCGCTATTGTATACCGGTTGAAGATGAAGACGTCGATGTTGATGAAATTAAGCAATCTGATGATGAAATTCAATGTGTAGTATACTTTTGGCAAGGGCGTAACGCTGGCAATATGGGCTGGCTGACATTTACCTTTACTTTGCAAAAAAAATTCAAAGCAATGTTTGGAGAAGAATTAGAAGTCGTACGAATCCATCAACAACAAGAGAACTTAAAATTCATGGCCCACTTTAAACGTAAATTTATAATTCACACTGGCAAACGAAAGGATAAATCGAAGGATGTTAAGCCAGTTGTGGAATTCTTTCATTTGCGGTCGAATGGTGGAGCATTGTGCACACGTCTAATTCAAGTTCAACCAGATGCTGTCAATTTAAATTCGGCTTTTTGGTACATTTACTCAATTATCGTTAATTTAACATTTAATAACCGAAACATAATTTTCAAGTTATATCCTATATGTACCATTTGAAACGGGAGATGAATCGCAATCAGGAATAGTATATGTATGGCTGGGTTCAAAGTCTACCCCAGAGGAGGCTAAGCTTATCCAGGAAATAGCTGAAAAAATGTTCAATAATCCTTGGGTTAGCTTACAGGTACATACAGTTATATTCTTATATTCTAATATATAGTACAAATCCTTAATATGTATTTTAAATTATTTAGATTTTAAATGAAGGCGAGGAGCCCGAAAACTTTTTCTGGGTGGCTTTGGGTGGTCGCAAAGCCTATGAGACTAATGCAGACTTCATGAATTATACGCGACTTTTCCGATGTTCTAATGAAAAGGGCTATTTTACGGTAGCAGAAAAATGTACCGACTTCTGTCAAGACGACTTGGCAGATGACGATATTATGATTTTAGATAACGGTGAACAAGTTTTCTTATGGCTTGGCTCCAGGTGCAGTGAAGTAGAAATAAAACTGGCGTACAAGTCAGCGCAGGTACTTTTTAGATTATTGTTTTATGCGAGAATATTTACAAATATTTGCATGTTTACATCATAAGGTATATCATTTAATCATTGAGGACACTTGATGTCATTGTACTCACTATTCCACTATTATAATCAAAAGCATCTCAGCGCATCTGAGAATGATTGAAATCGGAGGACTATATCATAGAGCTCCCATGCATCTGATTATTTCATATGTGAGGTTTTGTCAAAAATCCGTCAATAAAAGCATCTAAGAGCATGAGAATTTATAACCTACGCACGTATAAACAGGCATACTGCCTTTATTGTTTACAATTTTACATCAGCCAAATATTAGTCCAAAACTTTGTGCTCCTTTAAACTATTTCCGGCAATCTTCTCGAAACTTACAACCGAAGCAGTCGGGACAGCTCCTTCAGAACTTATGTAAAATTCTTATGAATTTTTTGTTTTTTATAATGTATTAACTTTTTTTTGAACCCAATACATTTTCGATTTCCTTGATTAAATTCAAATTAAGTTAATTAAATTTTCCCGTTTTTCTGTTGCTGCCCAATTAATCTAACCTATAACTAACAAAGGTGAACACTTTTTCAGTAATATAAATAAGATCGCGGTAGCCAAGTTGTTAGCATTCCATACTGCCATTCGGAAGGCCCGGGTTCAAATCCCAATGCGACCAACTTCCAAAAGTTATGGAAAGTTAATTTAAATAAAAAAATTAAGCTAAATTTTCTTGCGTTCTTTCTACATTGCGTTCGCCCCTTGGCAGGGAATGTCAACCCCTTCGAGTGTATTTCTGACATGAAATAAAAGGCTCCTCATAAAAAAAAACTCAGCGACTCGGAGGCGACTTAGCATAAACTTTAGGTCCCTGGATTTCTTGGAAATACATCAAGACCACAAATTCGATGAGGAGCTCCTCCGAAAATCGCTTCAGCGGTTGCTATATATATATATAAATGAGATTTTAGCAGGCAACACTTATACCAAAAAATTTTATGCACTCTTGTCCGAAAATGACAAGAAATTTAAGATTAATTTTATTAGTAGTTATTTTGGATATTTAATTAAAATCACCTCAAATATTTGTTTTTTTATAACAATCTTTTCATTATTGACTAACAAGCTTGCTCGAATTTCGGAAATAAAAGTGATCAAGCCAAATATCGTTCTAGTAAATGGCATAATAATATCATATAAACTCATATTTTTTTTAAGTTTAATGGCACTTACTCATAGTTAAAAAAAGTCGATCATAAAGAATGCCGCAGATCTTTTAAATATATCTGAAATTGTCAACTGTAATACACTTTCTGTATAATTCATTGCTACTTGAACTAGCTTGTATAAAATCGTAATGCGCACCAACACCTACTTAACAGCTAATTATTTTTTATACTTTTTTCACAGGTTTACATACAGCATTTACGCATAAAACAACCAGAACAACCACGAAAGCTATTTCTCACTTTGAAAAATAAGGAGTCCAAACGGTTTACGAAATGTTTTCATGGCTGGAGTACTCATAAATCTCCACCAGAGTAATTAATTTGAATGAATTTTGTAATTGATGCTCAAAAAATAAATATTTTTAACATATGTAGCATAGGCGGTAAGTTCACAACTACGAATTAGGTTGAACTTACTCGGCAAATTAGTATATGAACTATATGATTTGGATGCGTTTGTTAATATTAATCAATCGATATGTAGGCAATTAAAATTTATTTTAATACCCATCATAATGACAATTGGCTTAAAGCTTAAATTTGAAAGTATTTAACGTTTTACTTTAACAATTAGATTGAACTCTCCCGTATTAACTATTAATTTTTTACATTTTTGTAATACTTAAAATATGCAATAAAATGTAAACCTTTATTTACACAATATATTACGTTGTTTTTATACGACAACATATGTTCATGAAAGCGTACCCCTGCAAGCAGGTTTCATTTTAATCATTTGAGCCAACATATCCCTGCAAGAAGGCTTCCGATCCTCTGGGCCAACATATGTCAGGAATGCATGATGTCATTTCCTGTCAGCTCGTAGAACGACTTTCTTTAAGCCGAAATGACAAATGTGATGTATTTATTTATATTTATTTATTTATTTATATTTTTTTATTTTATTTTATATTTGTATACGTGTCCGTCATTCTCTCTTCGTTTCCTTGTGCATTTTCGTCATTTTTGTCGGACAAACAAAGCACAATCGGGCAACAGTATTGATACCAAAAGAAAACAATATTGACGTAAAAAACTCAGCAGTGCCGTACAAGATGAGCACATATGAGCGACAGCATTGATGTCGAAGGAAATCAGCTTTGACAAAAATTTTTCCTACATACAAACATACATATATACGTACATACAAAAATTATTAAGATTCGATCTTTATTCCAATACTTTTAGATGGATCAGGTACATGGTTTATATAGCATAGAAAAGAAATAACTGTATAACAATAAATTCGTTTTCAAAATCAGCAAAACCGCACAAACAAAAGAATTTAATAGTGTCATGTCTCGGTGACGCAGCTTCTAAGCTCCACAAACGCCTACGTCATAGTGACGGCTCGTTTGAAGTATAAATACGTCTAAGTAAAATAAAAAAATTATGTTTGAATCATAATGTTATTAAGGTCTAAATGCAGATGTACCTCGCAAAGTTTTGTTGAATATTTTTGAGATCCGCTGCTGCTGCAAGGTGAGAAGCATCCATCCCAGTCAACCTGCTCCAGTAACTGAGTTTTCCGTACAATATAAGGTGCCCTTAAATAAAAATAATGTAACGAGTAATGAATAATGAATTTAATATATTATTACCACAGCTTGTAAAGGATTCTTATCCATATTTCTCACTTTTTTACGTTCTCTGCTATTTACTACGGAGAAAACGATGAAAATGGCGTACTACTCGAAAATAAGAACATAAAATAAAACTGAATTCTCCTTCAATTCGTCTGTACTCAGAAGAGAAAGATAAGCAAAAAAAATGCTTACGTGTTATTGCTGCCCGAAATCATGTGAGTGTGTTGGTGAACCCATCAGCTCATTGTTGCAGGTACTTTTAATTTTAAAATGGTCATTTCATAGATTAATAAAATGATAAAGCCGGTTATTTACATGCAGCTCTGGAAAGAGGTCATTCGGGTAGAAGCTGTGACGCTCGGCAGGCTACTACTTCGCATTGATATACGAAAATTGTGTGTATGACTATGAATAACGAGCGTGAAGATCTCTGAGCAGTGCCTCTACTTTAAATCTTTCGTTAGAATTGTCAGAGTTGCGAAATTTTGGAATGATAATATTATTAGGTTTAGGAGCCGGTTTTACCAAAATATACAACATATAATAAAAACTTTTAATAAAACATCGATCGGCCCCTCTACAGCATATATAGTACATATATACGGGATGTGCTCAAAAAATAACTATAATTTGTAAATTTCGTGGCTTGCTGAGTCCGACTGGAAGGAAAGAATTGTTTAGTTCGTATATATGCACATATGTATATATGTGTGTATGCACATTTTCGACATTGAGTGTGACATCTGCTAAGGTTAGAAGTGTTTTAAGGAGCCCGTCCGCTTATTATGTATTAAATATTTTGTATCAAATTGTTCTCAACAAAATCAAAAAAAAAAAAAAAAAAAAAAGAAGTAAGAAGTTATTGGAAATGTTAACAGAGATGGACGCCATGGACGACCCAGCACACTTACAACCGATAATAACGTAAAAAGTGATAGACCGCCGAATCACAACTAGAGAAGTCCCCGATGATATTAGCATATCCATTGAAAAATCTCATGCAATTTTTTCAAATGTTGAGGAAAAACTTTTCGTAAATAAAGAGAACCTTAAATGGTCTTAAATGAAAAGTGCATCGTTGAAAAAATTAAATACTATCTTCAATATCGGATATTAAAAGAAACTAGTTGATCCAAAAATTTATACTTTCGTTATTTTTTGAAGAAACTTCGTTGTCTCCGGGTCAAAACCCGATCGATCATGCTGTGATAGACGTCTATATTGCTAGAATTTATGATATGAGCTACAGGACTGACCGAAAACGTACAATATTTTATTAGAGAGTACAGCTGCTGGCGAGCCAAAGGTTCTAATATTGAACGAGGACAAGAGAGAGGATATTTACTCTTGTCACCAAACAAAGAGTCATCGCATTCGCGACTCGGCTCCCACGCCACTGTAGACAGTCATAACTCGAAGTTGTAGATAATTTCGTCTATCTCGGAACTAACACGAATAACAATGGACGAACAAGGAACGATCAATATCTACAAGTCACTGCGATATGGTGCGTTGTTAAATGTTTTCCGGAGAAAGTTTTCTCGAAAGATTTACGGTCCTCTACACGTTGGGCACGGCGAATACACAGTTCAGCAAAGATAGTGGTTATGCTGTCTAAGCCAAGTGATCCGAATGTGTGAGAACACTCCAGTTTTAAAAGTTTTCGATGCAATACCGCGGGAGGAAGTAGGGGGAGAGGAAGGCCACTATTTCATTGGAATAATCAGGTGGAAAAAACCGGACTACTTTATTTTTTAAGATGGTACTGAAGTTAATTCTGATATAGTCGGGTAAGCGTTGTCTATCCTAGTAATGGAGTGTAGATAATTCATATCATCGGTATGTACGACAAAACTCTAGCTTTGATAGATTTCGACCCGATAATCGCTCTTGAAAACGAAAAAACTCCATCCTGATGAAAATATCAAGTTGAGAAAGACTTGACACGGCATTTCAAGATAGCACCGAACGGACAAGAGAAGAAATGAATGATGCGCTAAGCCGAGTCTACTTCAAAAAAAAAAAACGACATGGAGGCACCTATGAACTCCTATTTCATATTGGCGTTTCTTTTAGATTTATGATTTTTTGGACAAACGCAAGGAGTGAAAATAAGAAAATGATAGAGTCAAAGACGAGCATCAATGCCTTATAAGAGCGCCTAGAGCATACTTATGAAAATCGTGCTCGGCGATTTTAATGCCAGGATGGGCGCAAAAAGTATCCTTGGCCCTACTGGTACTAAACGACGATATACCTAATGGCACGAGGCTGATCAACTTCGCCGGGTTGTCTGTAGTACTAGATTCCAGCACAAGATAACTCACCATGCTGCTTGGCTGTCTCCAGATCGAAAAACGTAAACCAGGTCGATCATGTTGTAATAGACGGAAGAAATGTTTCCAGTGTTCTTGTCATGCGTACACTCCGAGGACCCAACATCGACTCCAACATGCTTTCTGAGAGCACTCGTCAGCAACTCGGCATAAGGGGACTGTGTTACGGAATTTCAGCAGATAAAAAAATTAAAATTTGGTTAAGATACAAATTGTATACATACATATTTAGAACATTGTAGCCGCTGAAGCGATTTTCGGTTTATACTTACCGCTGATGGTTTTTTATGAGGATCTTTATTTCGTGTAAGAAATACTCTCGTAGGGGTGGACATCTTCTGCATACGTACGATTACAATTAGAAAATTTAGTTTAATTTCTTATTTATAAGTAATTTTCTTTAATTTCTTGTATGTTGACTGTACCATGATTTGAATCCGAGCCTTCCAAATGACAGTACGCAACGCTAGCCACTCGGCAGCCGCGACCGCCAACAGATAAACATTTGCATAGTTTATCGCTTTATCTGTTTAGATGAAGACCCCTATTAGTTTAATGTACAACTCTCAAACTTTACTAGTCTCACAAGCGCGTTCGAAATGTTACTGATCTATATATATATATATATAAATTGAATGACAAATCTTGGGACTTTTATTTAGCAATGTAATGACCGAAGCCGAACATTAATACTAGAATAATTGAGATCTGGCCCCTCCTCCACCTAAAGACTTACTAATCCCTCTGACCCAAGCCCGTCGAAACAGCTCGTTTACTTAGACTGAACTTGTCCGCTCCTAAGCGGGGTTAGACTATTATTGAACATGGTTTTGTACCCCACAGGTAGGTCTACAATTACTTATCTCAGTCTTTTCCGATAACTAGGTTTAATCGATAATTAATTTATCGCATCGTAGCATTTTATTTTGCTGCGCACATTTCTATTATTTTAGTCCATCGCTGTTTAGTCCATATTTACAAAAAAAAATATAGAATTATTTGTGTTTGGGGATAAATTTGTTTTTGAAAGAAGCTTTTATGATTTGGTGATTAACTAAGAACATATTTTCCAACAACGAAACTATCTAATCTTATGTAAATTATTCGCAGTACAAATAAAAATTATGACGAGTTTATTATCTTGCGGAAATGCAATCGGACAAAAGTTGGATTTAACTTTAAAAGAAGAATACCTGAATGGAGAACAATATATGAATGATGCAAACACTTTAGATCCAGAGGCATATATTATAGAAAATGCGAAATGCTTTCTCTGTGATCGTAATTTTGTTGAAGGGGAAGGTACTTTTCTTATTTTTGAAATTCGTTTGCGTGATGATGGAGGAATTGATAATCCTCTCTCGCTAATATTATCAACAGCTCTAGGCAAAGATCTGGATGAAAATAGTTCTCACTCACCTGTAAGATGACTTAATATTCACTTAATATTAGTAACTATTTAATTTAACTTCCAGCTACTTTGCGAGTCTTGTAACAAAAATATTTTAGAATTTGAGAGGCTGCTTCAAAAATTTTGTGAAAAGCGTATGCAAATAATTAAATCGTATAACCGAACAGTCCACAAGTATAACATTGATCCTATTATAATTGATTGTGAAAGCGAAGTGACTCGTGGCGACAGTATATATTTTGATGAAATATCCAACAATATAATAATTGACGATCTGCATTGTAAAAATAAAAGTTCAAACTGTGACGATTCGCCAAATGGCAGCAATGAATCAAAAGAAATGGAATCGATTTGCGTTGGAGCAGACTTGGTAGAAGAAATTATTGATTGTGACCCAATAGAGGTCGATGGATCTATTTTAAACCCCGATTCTCCATGCATGGAGAATAATGAAGATTTAATTAATGATATTCATTGTAATGGAACTATTTCGGATATTAGTGATAAAGCTGAACAAGGTAACAGTGCACGGAAATTAAGATGTGGTACAGAATCGGATTTATTATTGTTAATGAACCTACAACAACATACGTATCATCACGAGCAACTTGTTTAATTAACTAATTTACTATATTTCCAAATCTTATTACATATAGCCGTTAGATTAAATAATCGACTTAAACTTGGATATAGCAATCTTTAAACGTTTAAAAATATGCAAATTCACATATTTTTTATTTAAAAATGGTAGATTTTGTTAAGAGGGTAACACGAAAAAACTAAAACACGTTTAGTGTCAGATAGCAATTAAGCCGACTGCGAAGAGAGAAAGAAACTACCTTTCAATTATTGTATCATTAATGATACTATTGAACTTTACCTTATGTCGAAGTAAAAATAGATCGCTGATCAAAACTAAATTTGATATTTTTTGAAATTTTTTCTTTTTTTTGTTGTTTTTCTTTGCGTATTACAGTGAAAAAATAAGATTCGACTATATCTTGGAACCCTAGTTAGTATTTTGTTTATTACTTGAAAATCCCTTTCAGATTTGATTAACTCTGAGTTGTTACCACACACATTAGACATCAAAAGCGAGGAGACATTAATATATGATCCAGATGACAATGCTAGTAAGTATAATATTAAATGAAATGTACTGCGTATAGTAGAGTATATTTACAAAGCAAATTAAATCAATACTGTAGCTTGGAAATTCTATTATTATGAAAGAATTCCAGAAAGAGAAGAGATACACGCGTCAAAATTTCATTGAAGTGCCTGCAAACAGTAGAATATTGTAAAATTAACACGTTCATGTCAATAGAAATTTTGGCGGGTGTATTTTCGTCCAAATTAGTAGAGCCAGTAAAAGAAAATGATACTTTTAAAACACATAATTTGCTCCATTTACTAGCTAATGTTTATTTTAATTTTTGTTTAGCACCAGCGATAAATTATACATTTGCTGCTGAAAATTCGGTGCCAGATGGTGAAATGATTGCCGATGAACCATTCAAAATGGTTTTTGAGCAGGTAGACAACTTGTACTTTTGCTTGCTTTGTGGAGAGCTAAAGCCATTGAGTGCGGAACCATTCGCAGAACATATGCTACAGTATCACGACCTAAACTTTTATGCCTGTGAACATTGTTCTGCTGGTTTCCTTTCAGCTGAAAGTGTAAAAGAGCACATTGAAAATACTCATACAAATTTTTGCATAGCCACCGAAGTGGACTCTCCTGAATACGAGTGCAATGTATGCCAACAAGTTTTTGCTAACCATCGGTTACTTCGTGTGCATAAACGAACTCATAACAACACCTCCTTACAATACGAATGCTCTGAATGTAATAAGAAATATAGTTGCCAAAATCTTCTACTTGATCACATGAACATCCACATAGGCCGCCGACCATATAAGTGCACAAAGTGTCCCAAAGACTTCACTTCAAAATGTACATTGCAAACACATCTGAAAATTCATAGTGAACGACTGCGACCTTACAAATGCAATAAATGTAATAAATCATTTCTTAACCCACAATCTCTTACTCATCATAAAAAGCTACACTTAGGAGAAAAGGCATTCATTTGTGATATATGCTTAAAAGCCTTTAGCACCCAGCATAATTTGGATATCCATAAGATTGTTCATACCGGGCAGAGACCATTCGTGTGCAGAACTTGTGGTAAAGCTTTTGCACGTCGGGCTGAAATTAAAGATCACGAGCGTATCCACACAGGAGAGAAGCCTTATAAATGTGATATGTGCGAGGCTGCATTCGCACAGCGTTCTAATTTAATGACGCATCGGAAGTCTACACATTTAAATGAAAAATCGCACAAGTGCGATCAATGTGATCGTTCTTTCAAAAGACGTCGATTATTACAGTATCATATCAATGCTGTACATACAGGTGTGCGTCCCCACGAATGTGAAATATGTGGATCGTCATTTGTGTATCCTGAACATAAAAAGAAGCATATGCTTATACATGGAAATTCTAAGCCATACACATGTGAAGTATGTGGCAAAGAATTCAATAGTTGCGCTAATCGGAACGCCCATCGATATGTGCATAGCTCCAAAAAACCATATGAATGTATTAAATGCGGGGCTGGGTTTATGCGTAAACCATTGTTATTGGCGCATATGAAACATGCGGGGCATACAACCGATACTATAGTAATAAACCAGCCACATATCAGTGGTAAGGGAATGCTGAGTTTGGAAAGAGAGATGAGCACTATTGATTCGTGCGATGATATATGTGAAGTTGCTGTTAGTTCGTCACAAGAATCGAATTCAAGTGTGTGCAATGAAGGACTTCAACTTATTCCACCTCACACAGAAGATATTTCCGACGTTGCGGAAACAGAGAGTGTGCAGTACCTCCAATTTGACGACTTAGATAAAGATGGTCATCAAGTAATAACTTGGGTTGACATTGGGCGTGACAAGCACGTGATGTACTAATAATAGTTAAGTTTATAAGATATTATTATGAAAATAATTGTTTTTTCAAATTTTTAATAAAGTAACCAAAAAAAGATTATTTTCGACTTACATATGTATATTGGCACTTGTGATCATAATGAAATTGGTTAAAAAAATCGGTTTATCTGTAGCCAATTTTCTTTTTAATAGTTTTCAGCGGCAAATTGTACAAATTTTCACAAATTATGACTTTTTTGAACAATTGAAAGTCGTATTTTTGTTTCAGGTTCGATATTTTCACTTCTCAAGAAACTTTGTCGGCCGCGGTAGCCGAGTGGTTAGCATTGCGTACTGATAAAAAATAATATAATCTTCCAAAAAATGTAAAAAGGCAATAAAATAAAAACATTAAAAGTTTATTCAATGCTAGATTAGAAGTTATTCTGATTTTTCGCTTTAAGTTTAAATACATGAGTTTGAGAAAGTTCTGTCGCAATTGGCGCAGTATATAATTTTTTGGCGTATGCGTCAATTTTAACGAATACATATTTATTTAAAATACCATTAACACCAAAACAGTGAATTTAATAAAATAAAATTTATTTACATATTTTTTTCCAAACAACTCGAGTTAATGCCTAAGTAACATTTTTGTTAATATAAATGGTATTGACCATCCTGACACTAGTGTATATTAACAACAACAATATATTTTTATCTACAAATTTAAACACGTACAATATTTTATATACATACTTGTTAGTAATACTTTTTGCCTCTAACTGCTTAATAATCATGATATCCGCTTTTAATAATTATACAGTTGAAAATAATACAAAAATAAAACAAAAAATATAGCTGCGAAGTATCAGTAGTCGAGTCGTTTTTTCAAACGAAGTAAGCATACATTGTCCATATTCGGCATATTGTCCATTTTTAGATTACGTAGTGTAGGCATTTGGGCAAGTCTGTCTTCAATGTCGGTGTATATACTTCGGCAGCGATGCACAGAAAGCGTCTATAAAGAAAATGTTTTGTATAAATCTAATTGTACATATTGCATGCTTAGTAAACTAATACAAAAGTCTGCATTTAATCTAATTGCGTACATTCCTATTTCAAAACTTTGAAATCACTGCCGAAACAAAAAAGAAAAAAACACATTTTTCTGGGAATGTTAATTCAGTGCGTACACTTAATGTTTAATCGTAAGGAATATAACTAAATAGATACCTGTAAGTTTTTGCAGTTAATCAGAATCGCATCTAGACTATGATCGGTTAACTGGCTGCAACCACTTATATGGAGCGATCGTAGTCTAGTAAGTTTACTAGTAACTAGTTGTATAGCTTTATCATTGATACTTTCGCAATCAGACAAATCAAGTGTTTCTATGGAGGGACAATCTTGCACCAATTGCTCAAAACCTATAATTGAAATTTGTTGACAATTCGCCAGCGATAGGTTTCGTAGTTCGGGAAGTTTAATGCCATATTTCAAAGATACGTCTGATATTTTATGGCAACCATTCAAGTTCAATGTATTAAGTCCTCGTATTTTTTTTATATTGTAGCCTTCAACATTACATTGTTCAATCAAATTCATTTCATACGCTGCAAACATAGCTTTTTTTCTATGAGCATCACGTACAATTTCTTCTTCGGCTTTACTACGCAACGAAATTTTGATTGACATATTGGAATCATTTATAGTCTCCCGTTCAGCCAATGAAAGAACTGATATTGGATTAAGGCTATCAAGTGAATTGTTCGAGTTCCTCGCAATAGATAACTGTGAGATGTTAATGCCAGTCAATGCTGCATCCGTAATCTTAAATAAAAAAAATCTCTTTAAATTTAACAAACATTTCATTTATCTGTTCATCATACCCGAAAGCAGTTTTCTAAAGATAATACCCGTAACCAATGCAAGTTTTCAATGATACTTTGGACCGATTCATCGGTTACTCCGTTCACGCAATGCCCCAAATTAAGAACACGAAGCTCGGGAAGATTTTTCGACAGGGTTTTTACAGTCTCTACACAAACCTGTAAATGGGCCATTTGAAGATACTGAAGTATTACATTTTTACTAGCAGCCACACCATGCTTAATACCATCTGACTGTATACCATCACAATGGGATATGTTTAAATTTTTTAAGTATTTAAGAGTTCCCAAATAAGATGCGCCAACATTTGAAATATTAGTACATCCTCCAATATTTAGTTCTTGAATTAACGGAAGATTTTTGACGATCACATCAATACAACTATCATTAACACAATTGGTATCCGATAAGTCAAGTGTTGAGAGATTTATTTGCGATTTTAAAAATGACTGAAGAGATATCGTGTTCAGTTGTCTACAATTTGCAAGACTGAGATGCTGCAGCTGAAGACCATCAATAGCCAAATCACTTAACGCAATTAGTGAGGGAGCACCAAGTAAAGTACTACTAAGGTCGAGGTTGCGCAAGGTTCTGTGATGCATTGATATTATGCGAAGAATAATTCTAAAAGTCAATATAGACTCACTTGGAGCAATATCGAATTCGTTGGGGTAAAAACGTCTTTGGATAGCATTATGATACGCAATGTGGCACCCTGATAAATCCAAGGAGTAAATACTATCCATCATTTCTGTTATGCGTAACAAAATTGCATCTGACAAATATTGATTGTCCTTCAGAGAAAGGTGTCGAATATTTGAAAAAATCAAGCTGAGAGATAGGCGGTCGTCATCGTTGTCTAAAAAAGAACCAGACATAAAAAGCGGTGAACAGCGGGTTATAGTTAATGAATGTATTTTTGGCAAAAGTCGCAATATAGCACAAAACTGTTTGTCACCCACATCAACATTTTCAAATACTATATTCTCCGCGGTTTTCCCAATATAGCTCATAATTTCTTCAGTCGGTCCAAATGTAACTTCATCGAAATAGTAATTCCGGAAGTGTCTTTCACTTTTAATAAAAACAATTGCAGGTGGTAATTTGTCTGATAAGCAGAGTTTGGAAAAACGAACTAAGATTTTTTTGGAAATTTCCACATTAAATAAAGCAAAACGCCACCGTTGACAAGTTCTCCCAGCCATTTGCAAATCCGAGTGATCCAAGTATCGAAAGATGTGCTGCAATATCTGTAAGATTAAAATTTCTTTAACAATTCACCTATGCGTAAATTCTGATATCACAATATCACGCCAAATAATAACAAAATATATCTACATTTGTTTATTCTTACCTCCATAGGTAAATCTGCATAACTACAAGTCCAACTTCTATATTCTTCCTTATTTGAATCATAAGCATCCATTTTTCTACCAGACAGTTTTGTTCACCCAAATTATAATTTGCAGAATCAAAAGTTGCTAGTCACAATGCAATTGAATATTTAAATACTCACCGAACTATTTTTATTTTTATTGTTATTATAGCAATGTGAAATCACCTGACGAATCGCTTTATTAGATTCTATCAGCTGTTCTAATTTTTAAAATCGATAACTTTGAACAGTTGCCATAATCTTTGAAAAAGTTTAATCCTGAATAACAAATTTTTGGGTTTCAATTTAACAATCCGATCAAACTCAAGGGATTTGGGATAGTATTGGGGCTTAGCAAAAAACGTTACAATTGGTGTCTGAAGTGGCATATTTAAATAATAATCGAATCGTTGAAGTTGAGTAACTGAAAAATTTGTGTTTAACTGTGGGAAGGAAAGTAGAATTGGTCGTGGTCCTCCCGCATACCATAACTATAATTTCGCGAACACTTTATTTTAGTTATTTAATATATTCCAACCATGTGTGCCCAGTCTCACTCGCCTGCTCGGCACTTTGCCGATTCTCCTTCACTAGCTTGTGGAGATGACCCGTCAAGACACCCCCAAAAATTCTACTATCTCGATAGTCACAGTTTGGGCTGTATATATTTAATTCATACAAAAGTTTAGTAGGACATTCTATGGTGAAAATATTCCAGTATCTTAAGTGCTCCTCCATGGTCCACTGCTCGAGACAACATTTAAAGGAGCTGAAAGGCCTGGTATAGTCGGTGATTATAACATCGCCTGCCGCGCCAAAGCGAACCAGATCATCCACCTTTTTATTACTTTCTACATCAGTGTGATCCGGGACCCAAGTGATGTTCACTGTGTTTTCCGGCGATTATCTGCTCATACCTTCTTTACGTGATCATACGCATTTGGACTTTGTGTTGATACACTTAATTGCATCAATTGTAGGTTGACTATCTACTAAAATCCTTAAAAATCTTCCTATTAAGGCGATTACCCATTTGGTAGCTTGTGTAATGCACACAATCTCTGCTTAGAAGACAGAGTTGTAGTCATTAAGTTTGAAGCTACCTTGGTTGGGCCGTTCACAGAAGAACTCTACTCTTGTGTCTGCCTCGCATTTAGGAGTAGGTAGGATTTTCCCCGGCAGAAGGCCGCACTCTAGAACTCTTCTCTTGTGTCTGCCATCATTTAGATCCATCGGTATAGATGTGGATGTCTTAACTGTTCCCGAAGGCACCGTCTTCCTCCCATTCTTCCCTGCTAAGTAAGGAGTAGGTGGCATTTTCCCTGACAGAAGGTCTCAATTTTCGCAGTTTGTCCTTCATAATTTGGTACCGCACTCAATTGTCCAGAACATTTCGGCGGCTAGTTGTAAGCGCTTCTTCATACATCAAGAATGGCATCTAGAGCATTAGATGGGGCAGTTCTCATTGCGACTGCTATACCAAGTAGACAGGTCGCACCTGTTCCAAGAATTTAATGCGCCCATCTTTCTTGGTTTAATAGCTCTTCTGCAGGTATTCCAGATCCGGATCACCGATACTGAGATACTTCACACAAATGGAGAGAATTATAATATTACCTCTACGTTTATAACGGCAGAAAGGATGTACTCTCGTTAAAATATAGATTTTTCAATTGCTCCGGCTACTTTACGTACAGCGGAATAAGGTCCTTCCATATAAATGTTTGGATTTTCGCCGCGCCGCTCCCGCTGTCAACCTGTTCGTAGAAGAGATACCACCAATTACGCTCTGCCTCTCTTATGCTTATAATTACGAAATGCAGTCTGCTAATCATCCTAGCATTTGTCGGCATCAAAGCATTTGGCTTTGAGTAGGCTCTTCTCGACTGCTTTCTTATATTATTTAGCTGAGCTGTAATCCAAGGGTTATCTTGAACACAGCCTTATGTCTCAATATCATATAATTTTGGAATTCAATTTTCTGTCGTAAGCTATTTAGATCGCTTGAGAACCCTAGGGCCTATGTCTGCTCAATCGGTAGTAGAAAAACCAGTGCTTGCAGAGCTGTAGTTTTCCCATCCAAACGCTATAATAGAAGTCATAGTGGTAATTCATAGGAATGTAGCTGACGGACAAACATACCTCTGTTTACTTCTGTGACATCGCAACCAACAACAAATATTACACCGTGTTCCCCTGAATTAGATTTAAAGTAGGTTAAAATAGCACTTTCAATAAAATTCGCTGTGCCCGGCAGGCACGTGATATGACCAAAGTAGTCACTTTCTGGATTCGATAAAATCAGATAATGGTCTTCTGGGGTTCATTTCTGTAAAATTTACTTACCTCTTGTATACATACCAAAGTTTTGCCCATTCTACGATCAAAATACTTACAACATATTGACTGATCTAATTTTAGTTCTCTCAATGCACCACTTAGATCGATCAATGACACCACTGGCTTAGTTTGAGGAAATAATTTCCACTCCTTGTTGTATTTCTTGATCCCTGCCGTTAAAACCGAAGTTGACTAAACGACGTTCAAACAACGATTGATGACCGTATTGAAATTACCTTCCCCGAGAACTGCGTATCAACAAATACGTCTCAAGATTCGATTTTTTATCAGAAACGATCAGGGCATTTTTCAGAATATTTTTTAGCGGATATAAGACGAATTCATTTTTTGACCGATTTGCGGAAATATCTCCAATAATAAATAGGTTGGGGGCACCACCTCTACATATGCAAGTTAGAAGAACAACTTTTTAAAGGAATTTCAAAATCATTACGAAATACAATATACGCCCTATATGCATGCACTCGTATGTAAATAAATATAGTATAATTATTTATTACAGGTTTCGTCGTCGTTGTTAACAGAAATAGGCTAAAAATGGTCGACGCAGCTTATCTGGTTGATCTTTTGCACCAACAATTCCTACTGTTTCCGAAGCGCGGTGTACCCAACAATTTGAATTCTTTTCGCTCCAGCGAAAAATTGCTGCCGAAATTTAAAAATACTCGGCCGTTCTCGATGAAAAATATTTAGATCGGTGCTAAATACCGCAAGGACTTAACACAAACCGCTCTCCATCGTGTGTCAGCAAAAGATACTAAATTTTTTTAAGAAATATACAAGCGTATGTACATACGTATGTACATGTATGAAAGTGCCAACAACTTATTACAAATTTTGAATCTCTGTGTAACATAAATTCTACGTTACAGATTCAATTGTGTTTGGTTACGGTACATATAATCAAAGGCGACTATAAAGGCAAGCACCAAAAGTAAGGTAAGTAGTAAAGTAAAGTGTGTTGTGTTTTCTGTTTATCTTAACGTTAACGTTCATTGCTTTTTCATGCTGAGTGATAATATTTAGCATTTCGATGGGGGTTTGGTTGCTGGGCATGGCTGTTTTTTGTGTCATGTATTTGCTTGTAACTTGGTGTTTACGGTAACAAATCTTTTTGGCTGATCATAGCACAAATGCAAATATGGAAAATGTGAATTTTGACAATTACGCAATATCATTTGTATATTTCAAATAAGTAAACAAACACTTTGAGGTAAGAATTACACACAATTTTTTGAAATTCCTTAAAATGGATTTTAAGATTCTTCTTTGTAACATTGTACCATTCATTTCTTTTTTTTCGCTGTTTGGCGCCAATTGAAGATTCAAAGTTTAGACAAGTCCTTCCTAACATGATCTCTCCAACCGAGTAGAGGCATTCCCCTTCCTCTGCTTCCGCCGGCGGGTACTGCATTGAAAACTTTCAAAGCTGAAAATTTGCATCCATCCGGACCACATGATCTAGTCATCGCAGCCGCTGTTTCTTGATTCGCTGAACTATATAAATTTCGCCGTATATATTATACAGCTCCTCATTGCATCGGTTGCGGTATTCGCAGTTCCCAACTCGTAGAGGACCATAAATCTTACGCAAAAACCACGTTAGGTATCGAACGGCTCGGAGAGGTCCTTCGACGAAGAGTTGGTGTGTGTCGACCCTCTTTTCACGGTTTTTTTTTGCAAAATTTGGCGCATGATCAATATCTAGTCAATGGTTGATTTACTAGGTCTAGAGCTACACTGATAATGTCCAAACAGTCTGCTGACGGTGGGCTTTAGTCTTTCACACAAAACGCTCGAAGAGACCGCATATGCTTTATTGGGGAGGCTCACTATATACCACGGTAGTTGGCGCAGAATGCGGGGTCCTCTTTTTTATGGATTGATTGATTGATTATTGGTAGAACGCACTTAAACTTCAATCGTCGGCCTTGCTTTCGTCCGACCAGATGTATGCACCTTGTCAACTTTTACCGTCGTGTATGAATAGCTCTGCCGGTATGCCGTCAGCTCTAGCCACTTTGTTGTTCTTTGAGCGGGTAATCTTTATTCGAACCTTTTCATAGTTGGGTAGTGGAACGCCTTTTCCATCGTCATTGCTGACTGGGGTTTCACCATCTCCGGCTGTTTCATTTTCACTGCAATACAACCGGTTTTAGAATTGTTTCCTCCATAAATTCTGTATATTTTGGGCATCCGTTGCTATATCACCTCTTTGTATCCTACAGGTGTCTGCTCCGGTTTTGATAGCTTCTGTAAGCCGTCGTATGTTTTCATAGAATTTTCGAGCATTACCCCTGTCGGCCAGCTTCTCAAGCTCTATACATTGCAGATGCATATAATGTAATGCTAATGAGAGATATAATTCAAGCATTAGAGTAAGCGAGAATGTTTATTTCGCGTGTTTAAAAACAAATGCATAATGACAGTTACATAAGGCAAACAAATATTGTTTTACATCAAGCATACGGTGGAGTACTTCCTGAATATCTGCGATTTTCCATACTTCGTCACGTAACTCATCGTTTATATTACACGAATTTTGTATAATCCATTAGTTCATATAAGGTGATGGTGCTGACGGTATCCAAAAAAGAGGTTTCAACACGCACTGAAACAGAATATATGCCTTAATAGACTTTTAAGTGATGATCTAAGTAAAAGAGAAGACCCAGTCGGATTACATAGAAAATATTTTCTAAACGATGGCCCAATGGCACTGTATTTTCATATGTTTTACGCAAAGACGATTCAGGAGCAGCTTTGCAGAAGTA